ATCCAATCCAGTGAGAAGCAAGGGGATATATGATGTCTTTTGGCTTGAGAGAAAGGAAAAAGCAGTGAGGAGATGGGGAGGCAAAAATGACACTGGGATTGGAATGAGAGAAAAAGCATGATCAAAATCTGAGTAAAGATCTGGCAACGGGCATAAATTCTGGTCTAACCTTTTCTGCCTAACAAGATGCACAAATTTAAAACACTGATTTTGTTCTTTTCTGAATAAAGAGATCAAATCTAACTTAGACCACTTCAGATAGGGTGAACAGATAACAAGTGTGAAAAATCGGGACATTTTATTTTTCCGGTGTGGGACGAATAGTTGCATATAAAAGACAAAGCCCCTAATATTGAGACAATTCCAACAATATTGGGGCATCTGGTCACCCTCGCTGCATAAGACTCACATTCATGTACAACTGAAAACAGCACACAGGTTTAAGATAAAGGAAACACGAAACAAAGAGGTTCGTGGATGGGAGTACATAATAACTGACTAAACTAAGAAGAGGTGAAAAAGACTTTTATACAGAGGGAATTAAGTATGTCCAGCTCAGAAATGTGATAATTTTAAGACAATCTCTAGACAGCTGTTAGAAATGAAAGTTAGGTGCTTTTGAAAATGCCACCCATAGTGTAAATAACAATGTTTCATTTCAGGTGGTAGAATCTACAAATCGCAACCTAACTATTTAGAGGCTAGATTCTGAATAGAGAAAAAGCAGTTGAAAATCTGAAAGCAAGGGACACTGGTGGTTTCAGGGATTAGTAATAGAATAGAGGCCTTCCTCCAGGATGCTGGCTCTATCTCAGCAGGACCAAAAGCTCTTACTATCTGACAACTGTTTGTTGGCTTATGTGAAGTGAGTTGTCAGGAACTGTCCAACTTCTTCCTTCGGTGCTCAATGACCATAGAGATTGAACTATTCTATCAGCTGGGAAACTCTGCAGAATACAGACTTAATTCTCTTGGGCTACCGCAACCTGGTGCTATGCACAAACACTAAATTCAACACCGTGTTATTTCTCATAGCCAAAAGCACTTCTATTTGTTTGAACTTTGCAGCAACGGTGAGGAAATGGAAAAAATCCTTGTTTTAGATCCTGATCTTGGAAGCTGAGAACACTTCCCATGAGCCCCACTGCCTTGCCAAAGAATTGAGGTCTATCTGGGAAGAGCAGCATGAAGGGCCAAAATCTCACGGTGTAACATATTTGGCGTAGTTTTAGTTGGCAGACAGAGATGTCAGAAATGGAATTACACACTGTACTGCAGCTTAATTTATAACAAGAGTGAACCGTGCCACTCTAACACTGCAACATTTACGTGTGTGAGCTAACTACATGGGTTCCGCTAATAGAAGGGCATCAGATCTCAAAGCTCAGATACCAAGAAATAGACACTCCAGAAATAGCTTATATAGATGAATGGATGAAAGTGGCAGCAATACAGTAAAGTTAGTGTTACCATACTTTTACTATTGGACTTTCCTGCATATATATATGAGCGAGAGAGAGAGAGAGTATTTCTCTCCATCTCTGTTAACATTTACAGGTTAAACCTCTCTAGTCCGGCAACATCAGTGGTCCAGCATGATTTTAATTAGCTGGATGTCCACTTAATCATGGGTATGGCCAAGTTTCCTGCAGCCTCATAAAGTTTTACAGACACCAGTCCTGGCTCCCAGTGTTCTGCGATGTTATTTAGCTCTAAATTACCCTTAAATGTCTTCTAAAAGCCCAGTAAGCAGTGGAAGTGTTGGTAATGTTGCTAGACAATATTGACCTCCTGTGGTTTGGCAAATTCTCTGGTTTGGCAATGGTCAGGTCCTGAGGGTGCCAGACTAGAGAGGTTCAACCTGTATTTGTATTTTTATGAATATACATACCCTTTCTAATAGGCTATTGTGGAGAGATAAAAAAAAATCACTTTGTGGAATGAGACTGGTCACATTTACATTAATTTCAATGGAGTAAAGGACAGAGGAATGCTTAAAGGGCTCGGACTGGCCCTCTTGTGCATGTATGCTGGCTAAGCAAGAATTGACAACGACTGCTCCCTTGCTGCAAAAGCTGGCCTGACTCACACTGCCCTGCAAAAACACCTGAGCCACCTTTTGTCTCTTCTATCTTCAGTCTGTCTGCAGACCCTTTCCTTCTTGTTACTGTCACTATTCTGCTTTCTTATGAAGACTGCACAGAGGAGCTATTAAGCCTGTCAAGCCTTTCCTCCTTTGCCATTTATCATCTGCTCTTCATCCCCATTGTGAAGCAGTACAGCTACTTTCTTCTTTGTCAGACTCTTGCATCATATGTGTTTTTTATATACAAGTGCAACAGAATGGGTGCTGAGAAGGAGGAAGGGGCGCATCAGACTGTGGGAAGGAAGAGGAACAGAGTATGGAGGGGGAATCGAGCCAAAGAACAGGAGAGGGGTCTCTATCCACACTCCCGCAGCTTATGTGCCACATAAAACAAGCTATGTGCCCCCTCGTCTCAGACATGCTGCTGCCTCCTCCCTCTCTCATGTAACATCATAAGGTCCTGGCATCTCCAACTGATCAGCTTTCTCTTGACCTAGACTGAGAGTTAGGAAGCATGTTTGTGCCTGCCTGCTTCCCAGTTTCATAACAGCCCCAGTGGTTCCATGGATTATTGTTATTATTAGAGGTTATATGTCTGTTACTCTATTACTTAGAGGCCCTATTTGACTCAGGTTCTTGCTGTTATTTAAGCTGAATGGATCGAGTGCTTGGAGTCTCACTATCTGAAAGTTCTTACAACAGTAAGCCTCTTGTGCAGGAGCAGCTGCTAGCCCCGTGTATTTTTAGTAAAAGTCAGGGACAGGTCTCCGACTTCTGTGAATCTGTGTTTTTTGCCACGACCTGACCGTGACTTTTACTAAAAATAACCATGACAAAATCTTAGCCATTTTTTGACTGTGCTTGAACACTCTTCTGGTGCAACTACTTATTTGCCTTTAATCTAGCTTTTTGCTGGGAAACGTACGGAAGCCCACAATGAAATATGTTTGAAAGAAAAATAAAGCAGAATGGAAGGAAGAAGAGGCTGGACAACATAAAGATAGTTCCACTTTCTAGAGGAACTCCATCCAGCAAATGGATGTTTGTACTACTACAGTTCAAGTGACAAGACAAAAACAAATCCCAATGATTGTGTAAACAACTAAATGGCCTGTGGGAAGATCACAGAATTCCCCATATGGGAACTGAAGCAAAGGAGACATAGTGGGAAGAATAGTAACAATCCTGAATATCATTAAAGTAGCCGTGTTAGTCTGTTTCAGCAAAGACAACAAGGAGTCCAGTGTCACTTTTAAAGACTATCAAATGTATTAGGATATTAGGGCATAAGCATTTGTAAGCTACAACTCACTTCATCAGATTGTGATGTTCTCACATTACAATAAGTAATTTCCCATCAGGTACTCTCACCTTCTCATCACTGCTGGAAATGAGCTACATCCACTCTAATTTAATTAACACTGATATCACACTCCCATCTCTGTATCCTTTTTCTTTCTGTCTTCTTTAGATGCTGATGAAGAAAGAAAAAAAGAAAGAAAAAAAAAGGCTACAGAGATGGGAGTGTGATATCAGTGTTAATTAAATTAGAGTGGATGTAGCTCATTTCCAGCAGTGATGAGAAGGTGAGAGTACCTGATGGGAAATAACCTACTGTCATGTGAGAACCCTCAGGCTATGTCTACACTGCCCTCTCTTGCAAAAGAAAATATGCAAATGAGGCAAAGCGATGAATATTGCCACACCTCATTTGCATACTTAATAAGCCACTATTTTTGCTATCTATACAGCTCCTTTTTGCGCAAAAGCCCCTCTTGCGCAAAAGCTGTTCTTCCTGAAAAAAAGCGGCAGAATGGCTCTTGCACAAGAGGGGGTTTTTGCACAAAAGCCCCTTGCGCAAAATGGTGGCTCATTAAATATGCAAATGAAGCACAGTAATATTCACCACTTTACCTCATTTGCATATTTTCTTGCGCAAGGGAGGGCAGTGTAGATGTAGCCTCAATTTGTCTATTTAAACCTTGGTTTAAAGTGTCAAATTTGCATATAAATTCTAGATCAGCATTTTCTCATTGCAGTCTGTTTTAGATCGTTTTTTTTGCCTGAGAATGGCAACTTACAAGTCAGAAACTGTGTGTCCAGGGAGGTTAAAGTGCTCCCCCATAGGTTTTTGAATGTTGCCATTCTTAATGTCTGATTTGTGTCCATTTATTCTTTGGCATCGAAACAGTCTGATCTGTCCGATATACATGGCAGAATGGCACTGCTGACACATGATGGCTTTGATGGGATGGCTGATATGGTAAGGCCCTGTGATGGTGTCACTAGAGTAGACATGTGGACAGAACTACCAACAAGGTTTGATGAAGGGATAGGTTTTTGTATTCTGTGTGGGGGGAGAAGTTGGTGGTGAATAGTATTTGTATCTAAAGCCAAATTTTGGAAAGGGCAATTTCACTAATGCTACACTATACAGCTTTTAGTGACAAGGCTGTGTTGGCACAGCCCTGTCACTAGAAGTCAATGCATGTGAATACAGTTTGTTGGTACTTTTGCTGACAAAATACTTCTAGCCCCCAAAAGTGGCTTTTGTTTTGTCGGCAGGAGAGCACTCCTAGAGACAAAGCAGTGTTCACACTTGTGCTTGCTGCACCAAAACTTTAGTTGATAAAAGTGTTGCTGATCAATTGCAAGCATAGACAACATCTAAGAGGCAACCTATTGTCATCAGCTTCTATACAGGTACTGTCACAGCTGATGGATGAGAAAATCAATAGTCTAAAGCTCCCTCTGAGAAATGTATAGAAAGGATGAACCTGACAAATGGTGGCATGTTTGCATGGAAAGGGATACTTCTTTGGACGGTACAAATCATTGTTTCCCACTCCTCCTGTAAATCTTTGAAAGCACATGGCTTTAATTTTAACTAAAATAAATAGTGTAGGGTACTTACCGTCCTGAAGAAGTTTGCTTAAGTGAACCAGCACTTTCGAACAACTGGGCTCTTGCAGCCACTCTGAAAATTAAGTTAAGAGGCATCTGGTATTAAACATGTTCCTTTCAATGAACTGCAGAGTTATGCTGGTGTTAATAAACTAAGGTTTTTTTCAGTTATATAGACTTGAAAATATAATTTTTTATTTTATTTTTTTATTTGATTCTTAAATTGTCGATGCTCTTTTTTTAACCTGAAAAATGTAGGAGCAGTGCAAGAAACGAAGAAGCAAGTAATGCTTAGCTTAGGTCTCAGTTCAGCAAGAAATTTACATATGTGCTAAATCTGAAGGAGCCCTGCTGAAAATGTAACACAAACATTTGCATATTTTGTAATTCGTATTAATGTCTTGCTCCTGAATAAACCTAAAATGAGGGATATATAGTGTCTGGAGAGGGAAAATGAATGTTATCATTTCTGGGTTCTAATCCCAATGATCTCACTCATCTCCAGTTCTGGGCTATAAATACTAGACAATATTTTTAACCCAAATCTTATATGAAATTATTTCCATCCCGAGAAATAACTAGCTACAAAGAAATTATCTAATAGTGTGTGCAATGGAACACATCAATTTCAGAGAAGAATTGCATTTGTCTTGTTCTGATTCTGATGGTCAGGAAAAAGAGGTGATGAATAATAACACTTTATTTTTGACATATTGCCTGGTCAGTACATGGCATTCATATCTCTTAAGATAAATAAACACAGAAGAAGCAGAGACACAATGTTAAAGCTGGCTGAATAGTATTAATCAAATAATTTATTTCACAGATTTTCTCTGTTCATTACTGGCTTAATCCAAAGCCCAGTGAAACTACTATGACTAGAGATGGGTGAAATTTTTCAGGTGAAACTTTTCCATCAATAAGTGAAGATTTCGACTGATCAAAAACATTTAAAGAATGAATACTTGTCAATTTCAGCAAACTGTTTTGGCCAAAACAAAAAAAGAAAGTGTTTGGAAATGTCAAAGCAGACCTTATGAACATTGTCACAATGAGACATTTTGATTTTTCAGGCTACTATCACAAAAGGATTTAGGCATAATTTACAAGCTAGTAGAGGAGGAGGTCATGGCAGTTGTGTTGCCCCATCTTATAATGTTTAGCCCAGTGGTCTCCAACCTTTTTACACCCAAGATCACTTTTTAAATGTCAGGGCAAGACAACATTATCCGACCCCTTCCTTAAGACCCCCACCCCTTCCTTGAAGCACCACCCTCTCCGTTTCCCCTCCTCTCCATTACTTGCTGTCCCCAGCCCTTACTCGCTCTCACTGGCTTGAGGCAGGGGGGGTGGGCTCTGGGGTGGGAATGAGGGATTTGGGTGTGGGAAGGGGTAAGAGGTGCAAGCTCTGGGGGGGAATCTGGATACAGGAGGAGGTGGAAAAGGGGATGCTGGTTCATGGTGGGGACTCCAGGCTGGAGAGTGTTGGGGTCAGGTGGAGGTCTGAGCAAGGCGCAAGCTTGTGGATGTGAGGGTGCAGGAGTTTGCGTTGGAGTGTATGAAGGGCAGGGGATTGGGAGTATGATGGGCTCAGGGCACAGATTTTAAGTGTGTGGATGGTGTAGTAGTGTTGTGGCAGAAGACTGGGGATGTGAGGGTGCAGGAGTTGGGGATGCGAGGGGCTCAGGACAGATGGGCTCAGGGTTGGGGCCTGTGGGAGTGCAGGAGTGTTATGATGCTGCAGCCAGATGGGGGCTTGGCCCTAATTAGGGGCTAGTTGGCCAGGCTTCATTTTTAAATGAAATAATATGTCCAAAACAAAATGTTTCAGAATTGTCTTTATTTATGGGAGGGGCAGGGAACCTGTTTTGGGTCAGAGGTCACTGACCCACAGAAAAAAAATCAGTCAAAACCACACAAGTGAGATTTAAAAAAAAAAAAAAAAAAAAAAACCACACAACCCTCCAGAAAACCCCAAAACTCAATGATTTTGTGGCCCCAACTGAGACATGTTATTCCTCTGGCATTCTAGCCCCATGGGCAGGGAGCGAAGGAGGGAGCAAGGAATAGGGTAGGTAGGACTGAGGTTCAAGGCATCCAGCCAGATTAACTTTTCTGGGGTTCTACGGTTAGTAGAATTTGTGGGACCCACTACAATCTCAGATGGGGTCAAAAACGAGGGATTCAGTGTGTGGGACAGGGCTGCCAGTGAGTGGGATAGAGATGGGAGGGGCAGAATCTGGGTGGAAAATAGAGTACAGGAGCAAGCTGGGGGTAGGATGTCCAGCCAGGAGGGAGGGGGCAGGAGCAGGGTGCTGGTGGGTGTCTGGCCAGGAGGCAGGAACAGGGTGCTGGATGGGGGTCTGGTTACGGGATAGGAGCAGGGTGCTGGTGGGTGTCTGGCCAGGAGGCAGGAACAGGGTGCTGGATGGGGGTCTGGTTACGGGATAGGAGCAGGGTGCTGGTGGGTGTCTGGCCAGAAGGCGGGACAGGGTGCTGGTGGGTGTCTGGCCAGGGAACAGGGTGCTGGATGATGTCTGGCCAGGGGGCAGGAACAGGGTGCTGGTGGAGGTCTGGGCAGCAGAAACAGCTCGGCCATACCTAGGGATCCCATGGCAGGGGTGGCTCCTCCCCTCCTCCAAACAGCCGGTGTGCTTTCTGAAAAGTCGGGGACTTCCTTCCCCCTGCTGCCTACCTTCCTGCGTGGGTGGTGAGGGAGGGGAAGTCCTGGGCTGCGCAATGAAGCCGGCATCTCAGGAAGCACGTGGGCTACTCCTTTCCTCTCCCAAATAGATGGCGTGCTTCCTGAGAAGTTGGATCTGGCGCATAGCTGGGGACTTCCTTCCGAATGCTGCCTGCCTTCCTGAGCCAGCTATTTGGGGGAGGGAGCAGCCTGTGTGCTTCCTGAGACATTGCATCTGGAGCGCAACTGCGTGACTTCTCTCCCCACGCCACAGGAAGCTGATGCTACCTCCATTTTTCCAGGAGGTAGCACCAGCACGGGCTACTTCTTGGGGGTGGGGGTGAATGTGGGGTGGCAGTGGGAGCTGGAATGCCTCGTGATTGACTGATCGTGCACTCAAAATCGATCAGTCGATAGTGATTGATGGGTTGGTGACCACTGCATTAGCCTATAAGTTAGGGGCCTTCCTTTTGGTGTTGGAAACTCGGGCTTAAATCCCTGCTTTGGAGGAGGGGTTTGAACCCAGGTCAGCCCCTCCAAAGTGATTATCCTTGCCACCAAGAATAGGGTATTTTACAGTGGGCATCTCTCAGTCTCTCCAACTGAAAGCATATTATTTTGTGCAAAATACTTGAAGAGCCATTGGAAGAAAGAGAATGGTGTTATAGCCAGTGGCTTGGGCATTCCCTTAAGAGGGATGATACCCAGGTTCCAGTCCCTACTGATGACTTCTTAATTATTTAGACAAAATGGAACAGCTTCAAATGGAGAGACTGAGACACCACCGTGCTAGAGTACTCTATAGTCTGGTGGTTAGCACACTTCCTTGGAAGGGGAAAATTTGCATATAAATCACTAGTCCAACATTCAATACTGGGTCTTTCAAATCCCATTAGCGAGTAATAATTATAAGGAAGGTATCAGTTACTTGTCCTGTTCCTGTGAATCTAGCTCTTCAATTCTTTTGCTTTTATTAACAACACATGAAATGAAATGTCTTTGTTTAATTCAAACCAATTAGCCAAAAATTAAACAAAAAAAAATTGATGTCAATTCAACTTACATCTCATTTTTTATTTATTTTTCAGAACTTCCAGTAAATTGTTCTGAGAGTTCTGCTATTAAGTTCAAGACACTTTAGGGAAGCCCCCATCTGCCTAGTTTTCAGAGCTTATGAAGATTAATGAATAATTCACAAATATGACAATTTCATCTGATTTATCTCATCAAATATTCATGAATACTTTTTCCATCATTCAGCCCACTGTATAGGATAGTTTATGTGGGCACATAACGCAACAAATCAACTCTCTGCTAAGTCTGGATGACTTACACAGATCCTGGTCTCTGATAGCCATTACTCGAAGCCGTATCCAATCTTAATCTCCTGCGCATTTTGGGAGGCAGTTCTGGATTTGGTAGAGCCTTTGGTGTGTCTTTGGCATCAACTGAGGCTAAGCTCTGTACAGATCCACTGCGGCTTTTGTTACCTATAAGGAACAATCAGAGTGCGTGGACTATAATAAGATTTCAGTGTGCCTTAATAACATTTCTGTCATACATAACAAAGCAGGATTTTAAAAAAGAAATAAAATAGCTATAGCCAATAAAAAAGACTGCCTATCAAAGATAGCTAGGAAATTATTGCTACCAAAAATTGAGAGAATTATACTAGAACTCTGAAGACAGCAGACTGTTATGTTGCACTGATGATTAGAACATGTTCTCTGAACACTGATGATACTAAAACTTCATTAATAAAATACTACACAAGCCAGTCTCCTGTGCTATGCAAACTAATAGCCTCCCCCCTAAAAATCAGAACAAACAAACAAAATCAGGTTTATGCAGTTTATGCAGATGAAAATTAAAACTTGTTTAAATGACTATTCTGTTACCATATCTTCTTAAAATAAAACAAACTGTGCACAACTTGGATTTTATCTGTCAGAAACAGAAGGCCCTAATGTAATATTATAAAAATATTTAGTAATAACATCCAGGAAGCCTTCACAAAAGATCTGTCCATGTACTGCTCTATTCTTATATATGACTTCCACACGTTTCTAATAGGATTGATGATAATAATAGAATGGTTGGCATTTTCAGAGCACTGTATAAAATCTAATGTATTTCATACATTTCTTGCAAGACAGGTAGACTGTACTTTAATAGGACCCCAATTTTTAGATGGAAAACAATTACCCACGTTGATCTATTTATTTGTACTGAAGCAGCACTTAGGCATGCTAGACCACAATCCCATTGTGCTAGGCACTATACAAATTTACATAGCAGATCAGTGGCAGAACTAGAGGTAGAACTTGGGTCCATGGTTCTCAATCTCATGCTCAGTCCATTAGAATGTACATCTCAGTGACTGTGTAACCTTAGTAATTCACAATCTTATATATAAAATGGACTTCTTTTGGTACTAATTTTTAAGGGCAATGCTGAGTCAATTATCAAGGTATTACGAAAATCATCTCAATAGCTTCCTGGATTCAGTTTCTGGATTCTAAAACAAGAGAAGTGGCAAGAAATCTCGTCTTTCATCCCATGTGTGCACACAGACATGTTCAGCCACACCTACCTACTGGCTAAACTATATGCTATACTTGGGTTCACTCAAAAGAAAAGCCATCTTCTAAATAAGACACGCTGACTAGCGCACATTACAATAGCATTTATTTAGCCTTCTGCACCATTTGCTAATTTACCTTGCCGTTCAAGGTATTGTTCGTCTTTACAAAAATCCTACATGATCCATTTATTGTAGAAATAGTCTCAATCTTTTATGAGATGCAGCTAAAAAAAAAAAAGCCAGCACATAGCCTGATGAAAGTGAGGGTGCCGGGAACTGGCTGTCTAAGTCTTATGTTCAGTCATGGTGCAAGACTAGCCTCAGAGAGAATGCTGAACCTTGGCTAGCTACTCCAACCTTTCATGTAATTAAGCAGTGCTGGAAGGTAAGACAATTGTTTCAAATTATGAGGAAGCTTGATGCCTTAAAAGCAATGCAAAGGGCACAAAGGAAAGGCACCTTCAAAATATTGCTCAAAAATGTCTGAACGAATGAACACGTTGGAAAGATTGGAAGTAAATTAACAAAATCAAGGAATTTCAATAGCCTTTTGAATGGACTTACATTTTTCGGGTGCATCATGTTAAACTAGTAGTGCCCTGATAGAACAAATTAATACAACACATAGGACCTACCTTCTGCTGAAGTGATTGATCTGAGGGATGGAGCTGCAGATCTTGTCAGCCCAGACAGACCATAAACACTTTTTTTGGTCAGATCTACTGGTGGAGATGTATTCTCTGGGCTAGTGACAGAAGCCACACTTTGACAGTCTGACTCCACATCTGTTTTTGTAGCATCCTCCTTAGAGGAGGATTCTGGACTTGTGGTCCAGAGGCCAGAGCTCTTCTGTCCATTGGAAGACGGTGGAGAGGCAATCCATGGAATTCCTCCTGATTTCTCCCTGGGTTGGGATGAAGCAGACTTTGTGGTGCTGTTTTGTTCTGACGAATGAGAAGAGAGTGATTCTATGCTGCCCATAGGAGTGCTGTCTGGGCTACTACTGTATGAATCACCTGAAGAGGAGGGGGAAAAGAAGAAAAAATGATCTTTTGTGTGTAAATTACACTTTCTGAAAGTGTCCATTTTCCTAATACACGTGTGGTCTCTGGGGCCTTCAAAAATCATCACAATCATAAGTATGTGGCTTTTGCAGATAACAATTTTCAAGGGAGACTGGGTATTTGGTTAATTTGCATATCAACTGTTTTATGCCCCTCTTATGTGAAGGATGCAGTCACAAATTCCTCTGATGACTGCTCCAACTATAGGCTACCATGACAATGCATGTGCCTCATAGTGATGCCAAAGTCCCTGGTTTTATTGTTTCACAGCTATTCTGTCCTTTATTTTGTTTTAATTTGAATTTTCAGTCTCTTTGCTGATTGCATCCCTGGAAACCTTCTACTTCTGGCTCCCTGTTCTCCAATCCCACTGGTGAAGATTGAGGGGATATAGCTTTTGGATCGTAGGGTTAACAGGAGGTGCACCTTTGCCTCTGTAGATTCAGTTCTCAGAATGCTTTACTACTTAACCTGAAAATGATCCTGGAATTAGGCCTCATTAAAACAAGTTAAATAATCTTTATTGGGCACAACGGGTTGATTTTATATATGGTCGAATACTGATGCTAATTATGGCATTTTTTTAAGGATCAGAAGGGACCTCTCGCAGTAACAAAATTTGTGCTATTTCTTTACACAAGGGGTGAGATGGCAGAAGTCCATGGGCAGCCTGATCATGGAGAACAATTCCCTATAGCTTTGCTGTGTGGAACAGAGACCACCTAATTCTTTTTTAAACAAAGGACACTGAAATTACTTTAGCCAGTATGCTGGAGTAACAACTAAGAAGTTCCATATGTTAGAGGTGGTTCCTAACTAGCACTTAACTTGCCATCTGTGCATGCAGACACTCAATTGGAGTCCACGTTAGGAACACATAAGCATTTGCATGTTTGGAAAGTTGAGGCTTAGGTACCCAAGACCTCCTATTCTTTGGAGACATGTACAACAACTAGACACAATAGATACATTTATTTACAGATTTAAGTATGAATTTACTTTTTTTTTTTTTGCAGTATCGTAAAGGCTCCTACATTAGCAGATTAAATTTAACCTTGGCTACAATTTGAACTGAAACCCAATCACTCTTAATGGTAATATTAGAAAACAAAAACGTGAGCGATAATGACTCAAGTGGGACCTTTTATTCTAGTATTTATATGAAAATGATGAATAACTTTAGGTGGCAATTTACTGCTAATAAAACCCTCTACTTTTAATTATAAATCCATATATAGGACTAGAATAAAGTTCTGTCTCCATGCCATCCAGTGCTTGGCCTTTTTGTTAAGACTGCCAACATGGGTATCAATCAACGACAGCTGTGTAGTGGTTTTGGAGGTATAGATAGTTGTCTACTGGAACCCTGACAGAGACCACACAATTTATTTCACACACATGGAAGCGCTGCCTAATGGTAACAACTTTTGGCCAAGACAAACCACAACTGGATTGACCTTATTATGGATGAGGTGAAATGCTCTATTATACCATTTCTAATCTTAAAGATCTTATTAAAAGCAAACAAGGTGAAACTTGTACTCTTTGTAGTATTTTACAGTCTGGAGAAGGTCATTTCAAATCACTTAGTGGTTACTTTGGAATAACAAATAAACCACAATGTATTTTCAAACACTTTATGCTGCACAAGAGCTGCTTGACAAAGGGAGGGCAAGCACTAATTAAACACCACTGACATCTGATCTCTTTATTGTTTCCTCTAATAGAACCACTGCAAATAAGCACCCAATGTGCTTGGAGCACAACAAGTACCACTGCTTACCAATTAACAACCAGAGAACTAAAGAAAAAGACATGAACAGAGGTAAATAGCCATTAGTATGAATAAACTTACTATCAGGGTCTGCCAGACAGGGGGTGTATCTGCCTTTGGGTTTGCGTGAGCCTGTTGAGAGGCAAATTGCTCTTGTTCTCCTGGAAGCTGAACGGGATTGAGGCTGGGGAAGAGGAATGTTGGGGTCTGGAGCGGTGTGAAATATCTGTAAGTACAAAAAATTACCATAAATAACTTCCATTTTCTTCAAAGCTATGATTAACAATCACCCACTTACAGTTGCACCTGACAGGTTTGTTGTAAAAACATGTAATCATGTTAATAGGAATTTTTTGCAATGAAACTAAAATGAAAGTTGACAGAAGAAAGATTTTTGTTTTGATTTGATTTTGCCACCTAATAACTACAGCACTGGATTAGTGCATCACAACATGCAAGTGAAACTGACAGATACAAGACTATAAAAGAAATTAACTGAAATAGTTTACTTTCAATGTTCCTATTAAGAGAAATAAACAGAGCACAAATAGTAGAAAATACTACAGCTGATTAACATGACATCCATTCCAATAACCCAACATACTATTAGTAACAAAGTAAGAGCTGGGATTTCAAAAATCTTGATTTTTCATCTGAAAACATCATTTGGTATAATGGATGGTGTGGGAAAAGAGTTGGGGGCAAGGCCATCATAGCCTATGTTCATTCTGCCTGCTTCTAACCAAAAGGAGGGACTACATTTCCCAATACGAGTCTGGACAGCCTCTGCACAGAGCGGGTTGGCTGCGGCTTGTGCGTACACCTTTCATTTCCCATATGCTAGGCCACATATGGCCCGTAGCTTTGATAAAGAAGGAAACATTCTGTCTGAAGCTGGTCTTCTATAACTGCAGCAGCCTCTTTTCTTATTTGTAGGAATTTGCTGAATGTAGTGAATAGGAGATCCGGTAGCATGTTTAATTCCAGTTGCATCACAAATTAGATTAAAGTAAAAGGTCCCGGATAAAGGTTTTTTTGTTGTTGTTTTTTTTTACCTTTTCATAATGTTCTATCAAAATTTCAACTACAATATTCTGAAACTTAATGTTCATCATTGCAGCCACCGTTTCCTCCTGAGCTCTCATCAGAGTTGGTCCAAAGATAACACCAAGATTGGAGACGGTCATGAGATTTTGCTGACTGTGCAATGATACCCTGCAAAGGAAAGTTTAAAAAAAGGCAAATTAACCATTCCCTAAATAGCGTGCTTATCTCCCATTCCAATAAGGCATACGACACCATAGGAGTGGACTTATTTTTTCTCCGTAGCTCAAGAGTCCCTTTCAAGCCTGTCAATGAAAAATTGGCCCCAAAAGTTAGAAAATGCTCTTTTTTTCTTACTGCAAAGCATAATCACCTCACGAATAGCACACAAATGATTCACACAGTAGAGACGATGGGGACAGGCAAATGCAGACCACATCAGCAGGTGGAAAAAGATGATTATGCAGGACAGAGATTAAAACTTGGTCTGCACATCCAAGAGAAAACTATCAAATATGAAATTGCAGAACTGCTAACTGTGGCATGTAACGTATCACTTATATCAGCCTTTGTAGTAGATTGCTCTTATAATGCCTGTTCTTTAAAAAAGGCTCCAGAGGCAATCCTTGCAACTACAGGCCAGTAAGCCTAACTTAATTACCAGGCAAATTGGTTGAAACTAAACTAAATAACAGAGTTATCACACAGATGAACATGATGTGTTGAGGAAGAATCAACACAGCCCTTTGTACATAAGAATGGCCATACTGGGTCAGACCAAAAGTTCACTTAGTCCGCAGTGGCCAATGCCAGATGCCCCAGAAGAAATTAACAGAACAGGTAATCATCAAGTGATCATCCCATCACCCATACCTAGCTTTGGTAAATCATGTCTCACCAATCTATTAGAACGATTTGAGGGTGTCACCAAGTACCTAGAGAAAAGTGATTTAATGGAGGCAGGGTATCTGGACTTGAAATTCCGAAAGCCTTTGACAAGGCTCCTCACCAAAGCTCTCAAGCAAACTAAGCAGTGCAGAGCTTGCCCTCCCTCTGTGCACAAACACACCAAAATGAGTGCTTGTATTGGAAAAGCATGTGGAAATCAGTGTGTGGAATCTGGCAATTTTAGACTGCTACAAGTCAGACACAAATCAGTTTGGAGTTGGGAAGTCGATCGTTGGGGCTGCAATTATGCAAGTGTGCAGGGCCATTAATCATGTCCTGCTATGAACATGCTATGTGACTAAGCAATGTGCAGAAAGTAAGTGGATGGCTCTGCAGTAAATAGTTCTGTAAGTGCATCAGGCCAACAGATGATATGCACAATATGGCATTGGGGTGTATTAGGAGGAGCACTTCCAGCAGATCTAGAGAAGTCATTATTCCCCTTTATTCGGCTTTGGTGAGGCCACATCTAGAGTATTGTGTCCAGTTCTGGGCCCCCCACTACAGAAAGGATCTGGACGTATTGGAGAGGGTCCAGCGGAGGGCAACCAAAATGATTATTTTTTTAAGAAGCACAAGTTACTATTCTGCACAAAAAGTTTTAAAATCTTTTAAGCAAACTACATCATCTCAAAATACAGACTACAGAACACAAAAAAGTAATGTTTGCCTTATACTTGGGTTTCCATGGTGATAAATTGGTACATTTAAGCTAATAAACAGAATGCTGTTATTTAATATTATTCTGACAACAAATGACTAGGCAGAAATTTGGCTATCGCATCAAAGGGTCACTCTGTTGCAAAAGGAAAAAAATTGCTGTTCAGAATGCTTATAATATGGAACATTTTGATAACCAATTTTCTCTTCACTAGTCCTACTTTTGCTGGGGTACTGAATAGATACAGACCCATGTAATCATACATTTCAGGTGGCTGCCTGTCTCATTCATCTAGGCACAATTGCTTTCTCTGGAAATCTCACTCTTTAGTGTATCACAGGTGACAGTTAAATTCGGATATTGCCACTTTGGAGACTCCTGGCTACTTGTATCATGGGAGTGTAGCGTTACTATATCACATTATGAAATGATTTAACTCTCAAGGAGGCAAATATGTAATTTCCATGGGAAGTTTTTCAAAGAGGAAAATACACGTTTTTTTGTTTTTTGCAAATGTCATGTCTCTATGTTTAAGTGTCTGCTAATGCATTATGTATTTGCACAGCATCGTAACTTTGCCTGCTCTTTTTCAGAGGGTATCTTAAAAAAAGTCTGTCCCAAAAGGTATGAAATCTGGGATTATACAAATATCTGAAGACAGATACAGGGAAGAGGGCTACAAAAAGAAAGCACAGAATTGGACTGGTTACAAACCAGGGAATCTCAATGCCGTGCGGCTCCATAACCACCCTGTCTCTTCCTCCAAGCATCCCCCTTGTCCCTGCGCCTCCCCATCACTCCGTGTGTTCGATCTCTGCAAATGAACTATTTGGGGTTCTGGGAAGGAGGGGGAAGAGTTGCTGAGCATGGGGCCTGATTTTTCCCCACGGGAATCCATGGGAATGCTGGATCACAGATGTTGTCAGACTATTGAAGGTCTGGACTACAGAGGTCCAACCTGTACCAGAATGAAAACAAATTAAAATAGCATGACTTATATTACATAGCCAGCAAATCACAGTGTGGGTTTTTTTAAACAAAAGCAAGAGAAGAATAGACAGCACAAGAATGGATTTAATGGTCAAATCAAGACAAAGGAAATGCATTTTGAGGAGGGATTTGAAAGCGGAAGTGAAGACATTAAGGTAGTTATTTTCAAAGGCACAAGCTGACTTTTAATAAGAGCTGAGAACTTCTAACTGCCAGGGCCATGGGTACCTAGAGGGAACTACCAGCACAAAAGCAAGAGAAGAATAGACAGCACAAGAATGGATTTAATGGTCAAATCAAGACAAAGGAAATGCATTTTGAGGAGGGATTTGAAAGCGGAAGTGAAGACATTAAGGTAGTTATTTTCAAAGGCACAAGCTGACTTTTAATAAGAGCTGAGAACTTCTAACTGCCAGGGCCATGGGTACCTAGAGGGAACTACCAGCAGTCGTCTGTGGTGGGGGGGGGGGGGGGGGGGGAGGGAGAAAACTTTGCACTTTCTCCCACTCCCAGGCCAATCAGGCTTTGTGGGTGGGGAAGCACGGAAGTGTCCTGGCCCAGCCCATTCCACCTGAGGCCCTGTCCCTTGTGGTATGGCCCAGGACCACTTCAAACATTTCTGAAGTGGCCCCTGGTCAAAAATTATTGCCCACCTCTGGCATAGATCCAGCGGGGAGGCTCGCATGCCACTTATGGGATGCATGCCATAGGTTGCTGACCCCTGGTCTACCGCATCTTAGTTTAAAAATAGCTTTAAAACTATATCGTTCCCCATCCCGGCTTCCATTGGACATAGGGGCACTAGTTTATTAATACTGCATAGGGTCCCATAAATCCTAAGGACATTCCTGCATTTGCGCTTTTGAAAATCTCTACCCCAACCTGAAACAGCAAAACCCACAAGCATGTGTTTCAACTTGAAACAGATGAACAGTTCCATTCAAGTCAATGGGTCTTTGAATCTTACTGCACAGAAAGGGGGATGTAACTTCTGATCCAGACAACCTCTTGTAAAATGACACTAGGTAGGAGGATGAGGATGACCATGCAATTTGTGAAACCAATAAAAAGGAGCATAAATTACAGCAGACAAGATATGAGAGGTGACATTAAAAGGTTCCAAATAGATTTTTGATGAGCAAATAGCTAATAGTGTAAAATTAAAAAGGCAAGATTATTTAAGTAAATAGAAGCAGGAAGCTTGCAAAAGAACTATTAGGACTGCTGGGTTCTCAGGAGTTAAAGGGAACAGTTAAGGATGACAAAATTATGTCATAACAAAATTATGACTGTGCATCAATCTTTACTGCAGAGGATGCTGGGGACAGAGACCTGTTCTTTTCTAGTAGTAAATATGTGGTGTTACTAGAGTTTGAACAGTCAGAAGAACAGTTGGAACAAACAGACCACATAAAAAAGCAGTGAGGTCAGTAAGTCCAGATGCTATATGCCCAAGAGTTCTGAAGGAAACTAGGAAGCTTCTGAATTACTAACAAAAAAAGGTAATTTCTCATTAAAAATAGCTATTTTTTCCAGGACACTGGAGGGTAGCAAATGTTGTACCTTTATTTAAAAGCTCCTACAGTTGATCAGGAAAATTAAAGACAAAATAAGCCTTCCAGCTGAATCTAGCATACGGACTGAAATGATAACTTACAACAGGCTAAAGAACACCTGAAGATCATGATATGATACAGCAGAGGTCAGCAGCCTTTCTAAGAGGAACCATTTTTTGTTTTTGTCTTTGACCAAAATAATTTGAGAGTCACAGCACAAATTCTGACATAAACAAACAGAATAGGTGATGGAATAAACTGGTCTCTGGGAGGGAGTCTTGGTGCAGGAGGGCACTCTGGACTGGTGCAGAATATTGGCGAGCATGAGAGATGTAGGCTCTAGGGTGAAGTTTGGTGCAAGAGTCCAGACTGAGGCAGGGATTTAGGGTGTGGGAGGGGATGCAAAGGTGCAGTCTCTGGCCAGGCAGGGTGTACCACAGGTAGGCTCCTGGCCAGCAACACAGCATGGCTCAGGCAGACTGCATGCCTGCTATGGTTCAAAACCATGTCCCCTCGCTGCTTTTGGAAGCATCTGGCTGCTGGCATGTGTCCACTGGAAGGAGGGGAGCAGGGGATCTCCGTGTACTGCCTGCACAGGCAAATGCTGCTCCCACAGTTCCCGCTGAAGGAGAACTGGCCAAAAACATCCTGTGAGGATGGTGCTCTGGGCAAGTTCAGTGCACGAAGCTAGCTCACCGCTGCCAGGAGTGCACAGAGACCCACCAGCATCCAGGAGCAACACAGGGCCACATCAGGCAGACAGCGTGTATGAGCCCAGTTTGCTGCTGGACTTTGAGTGGCCTGAAGATCTCGATTCACTGGCAAAGGCTCCAGTTGGCCATGAATGATGGGTTGGCGACCATCGCTTTAGTGTGCAAAACAGTAAATACAGTAAATTCAGGTTCATTTTCAAAAAACAGCTGCCTGCTAGGGGAAGCTAAAGAGCCACATGCAGCAGCTCCGGAGCTGTGGCTGCTGAGCCCTGTGACTGTGTTTAATTAGCATGGTTTCTGCATGTATAAGGACTTCAAAAGAGGCTTTTGCCAAGATCCTGCCCACAAGGCTACTAAAGAAGCAAAGTAGCCCTGGGGTGAAACACAAAGAATTGCACTGCATCAAAAATTGGTTAGAACACAGAAAGCAAAAAGAAGGAACAAACAGTCAATTTTCATCCTAGTAAAGGGTTAACAATGAGTGCCTCAGGGTCCTGTGTGTGGTCTTGTGATGCGTAGCATATTTGTTAATGATCTGGAAAGGGTGAATGAGCTGAGGGGTAAACAAAAATGTGCATAGAGCAGTTATTCATATTAGTCAGGACCAGAGAGGATCCTTAGGAACTTCAAGGGGGCATAAACAAGGCTGCGGAACAGGCAACACAACAGCAAATAAATAATGCACTTTGGGGGAAAAAATTAAATTACTCATTTATCTTCCCATGTTCTAACTTAAGTATCAACTCAGGAAAGGGAGGCTGGGTATCACTATGGATGGTTCAATAGAAATCTCTGCTCAGTATGCAGCTGAGGTGAAAAAACAAAGATGATATTTGGATGCATAAAAATGGGATGGAAAATAATCAAATGTTTTATATAAAGCAATGGTATTGCCTCAGCTGGAATACTATGTGCAGTACTCATCACCTTGTGCTGGTGTTAAGAGAAAAGCAACATGGAAAAACTATCATCTAGAAAGAGATTTAAAAGATTGGGATTATGAAATTAATATGCAGCAGGTTTAAAACAAACCAAAGGAAGTTATTCTTCACTTAGCACACAGTCAACCTGTGGAACTCCTTGCCAGAGGATGTTATGAAGACTAAGACTTTAACAGGGTTCAAAAAGCAGCTAGATAGATTCATGGAGGTTAGGTCCATCAATGGCTATTAGCCAGGATGGGTAGGAATGGTGTCCCTTGTCTCTGTCTGGAAATGGATGACAGGAGAGGGATCACGTGATGATTACCGATTAAGTTCTCTCCCTCTGGGGCATATGGTATTGGCAGTTGTCGGCAGACAGGATACTGGGCTAGATGGACCTTTGGTCTGACCCAGTATGGCCGTTCTTATATTCTTATATGAAATTGCTGATGACAAGCATCTAGCAAGGCCCAGGAAGAGACTTAGAATTTATATGATTATCAAGAATACCCAGACTTATCCTAATTAATGATACATATTTTGGAAAGGATATAAAAATTCATTCTTCAGAGTAAAGCCAGTGTCTATCCATTAGAGTCCAGAGTGAGAATTCATTTAGGTATGAGAGAAGGAAGGATATGCACATATATTTTGTATCTGCTACGGCAGGGTTCTTAAACCTTTTCTCTGAAGAATCTGATACTGCTCATTGGGACAAGATTAAGGACTAAATTGCTCTCAGGTCACAAGTTATGGATCAGTTTGATTTATTATATGAACATTCTGGGAACTGTACTTATTAACTCAACTTGCATTGAGTGAAATCATAAGGATGGCTTTTATCATCAATTCATTTTTTGGTGTTCATTCATGTACTGAGAGTTGGATTGAGAACAGCTTTACAAATCAGTCACATTTAATAAATATAATCACTTCCTGGGAACTTCAGGGCTCTGAGTTATGATTCTTTTACTGCTTAGTCGTAATTTAGTTACAAATTTTTGTCCTGCATTTTGCAAGTGTGATGTAATTTACAAGAATTTACATTCTCAGGTAAATCCAAACCAAACTAACCCTTGAACAGCCAAAACTGAGCAACAAAAAGGGGAAAAATAAGCCCACATACATGTCCACCCCCCCAAAAACCAAATAGACAAAAGTAATGTTGGAATTACTTGACCAAATGCTTGATTAGGATGTCCAGCATCTCTCTGTTTTTCTCTGGTAATTTATGAACAAGTGCATGCACTGCCTCAACCCTGTAGTTTTGGTCATCAGATTCTGTTAAATAAAAATAAGGAGAATGTTACTAAATTAAGGTGCACCCACAGATGTGTGTACGGTTGGTATCACTAATACTACATCAGGGCACACTACACACCGCAAGGCAAACTATCTGTTGTTAAAATAGCCTTTCAAAAATCTGAGAGCAATATAGGTATGCTGATCATATGAGCATTCTGGGAATTGTAATACATTCAGTTAAAACATAATGACCCAAGTCAGGATTTGACCCAATGATCCTTTAAGCATCTAACCTCGCCCTGCTTTTTATTTATTCTTATGGTGCTTTGAGGCGGGATGGGGATAATTAGCACTTTATGCTTTGTAAGTATCAGAAAAAAAATAAAAAAATTAAGGTTGCACAAGCACAGAGCCTTGATTCTAGCATTTATTAACTTTCATGTGCTTAACTTTGCAATCTTGACATTCTTTTCACAGACATTGTTAATGTGAGTGTGGAGGAGGAGCGAGAGAGTGAGAATATCGTGTCAATACATACTTTGATTTTTAGTTCCTTGGGGCCAGGAACTGTCTTTTTGTTATGTTAGTAAAGAAACCAGCACAGTGAGCCCAGGGTTTCTGACTGGGCCTGTTGGTTCGACAAATACAAAATAATGTCTCTGTAAGTATAATGTCATATCTCTTGAAATACAGCAACTTAAATCATTGTCTGAGTCATTTGAAACAAAAGGAGGCTGGACAAAGGAAGAATCAACAATGGGTAAGAGATGGATCAAAAAGAGTGTTACTTTCCAGAAGATTTACTAATTTCTTTAGTGGTTTACTTACTAACAGCAATAATGAAATCCTTGTGCAACTTGAAGGTCATCAGTGGTTCTGTAAGACACCTGGTTATAAAATTAAATATATATATATATATATTTAAAAATGCGTTACTTATTAAAATCCTCTCTCATGTTTTAATGCTGTTACTACTATTTCAATATGCTTTTATATGATGCCCAGCACCTTAGCGTCACGGTACCAGATAGTTATGTCCAATGAAAAAATTCACTGTCTATGGACATAGCATCACATAATCACATGCAAGGTCTGATGAAAACTTTCTCTAGCTAAATCCATCTCCACTCTGAGAGTAACTTAAAGAGGAATATTAGTACAGAACAAGGGCCTGACTGACTGCATTTTCACTGTAAGATCAGGAATAACTCAAGTCATCAGCAGTTTTGCTGAAGGAGCAAAAATCAGGGGACAATTAGGCTTTATGTTTCAGCATATGAAATCCAAATATATCATAAAGACCCTGGTCTGGCATTGAAATCCTGATGTGTAGTGAACTGGAGAGACTCTTCATTCTAAAGGTAATTTATGAAATGTCTGCAGTCATAAAATATCATCATTACTTCCATTTCTTATTTTAAAATAGTAGAAGTAACAACAATCCTGTCAACCTTACTGTAACCAAGACTTTCAAAGGGATTAGTGATGTTAATGCTTCCATTTCTGGACAATCAACTTTACTGAGTTTAGGAGCTTTGGGTTTTTAGGCTGAATACCTCATCTCTGCAAGCTTGAGCCCTTTACAGTATCACAAAATGTCCCTCCCCCCAAAATTGAGGACCCCCAAATCATGAATCATGTCTTGAAAATCATAATCTTTATTTTGAAAGGGTTTCTAAACTGCTGAAGGTTTAGTATGAATTTGCTAATTCTTCGGGGGATATGTTTATTCACAATTCCTGTAAAGTGATATGTATCGCAGGATAGGAAATGAGAATTAACATTTATGCAGGGAGTCATGATTTTACTCTGCTCTGACAATAAATTAGTGAAGTATCATGCTGGGAAATTTAATAAAGGGTTTAACAAATGTGAAAAATATGTCTCATAGTGTGAAGTTCAGATAAATAATTTAAAGATCAACAAATGCAATTAATTTATCCCACTCCAAATGTAGGATTTTATAGAGTGCAACTGATTCAATAGTGAGGCAGACAAAATAAATAAAATATAAATAATTACTGCAATATTATTATGCTAGCCAATATCTCTATATATTTAGTGTTTAAGGGTATGAAAGAGTCAATACAATATTGATAAATAAGGATAAATGGGACATGAAATGAATTCCATACAGAGCAATATACTCACCTGAGGTAGTTTTTTAGTCCACTTGTTATTGTTTTATTGTCCCAAAGGTCCATATCAATATCCATATCAGGAGGAGATTTAGGAGCTGGTAGAAAAGTGAATTAGGAATGTGTTATACTTTGACTATCAGACTAGTTCAGAAAACAGCATAGTACTTAAATTAGACATACAGATTTGGTGTTAATTTCTTATTGCTACTTTATTACTCGCTTAACTAACAATTTGAGCGTACGTTGAAAACATTTCATTTTTGGATAATATCAGAAAAATGAACTAGCATCTAGTATATGGACATTTCAACTATGTGCCCAACTACAAAGAACAAACTAACTCCAAGGTGATACAGGGGTTGCCAGTTCCTTTGGTTCTGATGTACAGCAGTTTTGGTTATATCAAGATTAGCAATAAAAGCAAAACCCTATGCTCCAGAAAGAAACATGTCATAAATAAACTGAGCACTGAATTTAAATTAAGAAAGGGATTATGCATTTAAATAATCCCATCTTCCCTGCTCCAAAATCGAAACAAATCCAATGGATATCATTTTTCTCAACTGTCTGCCTGTGCCACCTTTTCTCTATAATTTGCATTGACTGCCCATTTTGTTTTGGAATTGAATTTAAGGTATTGTTTTGACTGGTATAGCCTGAAAGGTCTTGGGGTGTTCTAACGGAGGACACTACCTCTCTCCTTGCGTCAAGTCACCTTAGTCAATAAATATACTCCAGGTCGATTCCCCTTAAGAGAGAGGATTATTACCAGAATGTTATCACATCAAGACCCAGTTTTGCTGAAGTGGCCTGGATTTTTTGCCCAGTAGGGTACAATGCAGTGTACATCCATTTATAATGGCTGCTGCAGGATTAGTGTTTGATTAAATGGGAGAAGCTCAGAATTCTGTATTTCATAGAGGACTAAGTCCTGTTGATAATTGGAAGGTAAAACTTTTTTCACCTTGTAATTTGTGACAGGACTGTTGATAGCCCTTGACGGATGTCCTGTTTTGTTTTTGAATAATTCAAATTAATAAATTAAATGTGAAAAATGCATATCTATCCATAGTCTGGGTATACAATGTCAGTGATTTTCTTAATGCACTGAGTAACAATGTATGCAAGTAGCCAGTTATATACATAGCCAGGGCTTGGCGAATGGCGGCAAAAACCACTCGCCAGCTCCGTACTGCGCATGCGCAAGAGCCGCATTTCGCATGCGTGCGCCGCAGATAAACAGGGCGCGCGGCCTATGGCGAGTAGATTGTATTGTTTGTCGAGCCCTGTACACAGCTAATTATTTGCATGCTTACTCACTTTATTTGCCATCTGTGCAAATGCAAGTGCAAACTAAACTTACTATTGTACGCACATTTTTGAGCAGAGACAGTGAAAGAAATCATATCCATAATGTCCTTGGTGGCTATTAGAGCTTTTCATGCAAAATATTCCAAAACTTACAAAAGATGGTATTCATCAGCTTTTGCACCTTGGAATTTACACCTCCTATTCTGTACAGCCCCAAGATTGTGATACCTAGGTGGAAAAAATAGAGGATAACGAATTGAATTAGGGCACCAAAAACAGAACATGTTCATATAAATGGACACATAGGGAGACATTTGAGTGCAAATTTTCTAAATGGTTTATGAGGGTTTAATCATCCATTAATTTACAGGAAGTTATGCAAGTAATTCCTGTACAACATTTTGGATGCGTTAATTGCATTTTGAGAAATTACCAGATATAATTCATTGAAATTATACCATATTATAAACAAACAAATAAATAAATCTAAGCTACATGTTAATAATTGGAACCCTTCCACCCCCAAAAAGCCCACCATTTTGTCTGACTGATTCACGGACAAGTGCCATGACAGCAGACACTAGAATGATGTCTGAGAGGTGAAGAGTAAGACTCAGAAGCACTCTAGAGGCATGTCCTCAGTTCTTAGCCCTCTTCTTGCTTAATGGGAAATTTAAACTTGTGTAGCATAGTGTTTCTGAAAACGTTCCGCAAAATCACTTTGAGAAACACATTAACTGGCTGCCCCGGTTTGTTTATTTACTGGTACTGCAGCCATGGAGCCTCGCGGCTCCCATTGGCTCCGTTTTGTCCTTTGTGTTTCTCAAAGTGATTTTGTGGAACACTTTCAGAAACACTGGTGTAGCACAAGAGCCTTCAATGGAGCTGTTCTGCATTTTACACAGTGCAAATGAGAACAGAGTAAGATTCTCCATATCCAAATGTGGCTGACAACTACAACAATTACTTTTGTACAAAATTTATTGACAAAGCAAAGAATTCTACTTAAAATTAATGCACAATCTAATGTTTTCCTTGTTTATCTGCAGTACTACAGCTACTTTGTCAATGATGAATGATAGCATTGTTTTAATTTGTAGAGCTCCAAAACCTGATAAAGCAACAGCCTTAGGTACCAATTGCTCACAAATGATTGAGAAAGGGATAGCCCAATAAAAAAAATATTTGTTATTGCTTCTAGATAATATTATTATTATATTTTAACATTCAAATGATGGGAATTTTATGAACTGTAGCCCAATTTTCAGAGTAATACTGAGCTGTGGTAAAAAAATCAAGTTAGAAACAAATCTTGATTTAATCTCTTTTTTTTATCCTTAGCACCTTTAACTATACAGAGATGGCAAAATTCTTTTCTGAGGATGCTTGAGGAAAAAAAAAAGATAATTTATCACAATTTCAAAAGCCTAAACAGAAGCATGCTTCCTAATTTCAGCCAATGTAAATTAAATTTCATCTATTTGTCATATCAAGTTTTACCATTTAAAATACTTGTATTATTGTTGCCCATTTAAACATAATGGTCCAAATTCTGTATATCAGCAGTAGCTGGACTTGTATTTTGTTGTTTTCCCATACAGAGCCTATATTTCTTACTATTGAATTTCAGTTATTAAATACAAACAATGAATATACATTGGGTGAAATGTAGCTTAAGGGAGTATGCTAGGGATAGGATAAATTTGTCCCAAGGTGCATTAATTATAACTGAGCATTAAATTGACTAATAACAGAAAAGTGTTATTTTTTTTAAACAAGTCGTTATTATAATTTACACTTAAAAGATAAATCAAAGAGACAATCTTCACGAAAATTTTGGCAACAGTATTTCAGATATTAAAAGCTGTGAAAAATACAAGTTGAGTGACACATCGATTCCAAACTGCACTTAGAAAATATTTGCTGTTTAAGAATTGTAAAATAACCTGCCAGAGAAAAATATATGCAAACTATGTAATATATAGAATGTAATGTAATACATACCCCTTGTCTCTACAGCATGAATACATTTCCTCACAAAGTTAAAACCTGCTTCATTTAAGAACACTATAAATTGAAGAAAAATACATTATTTATTTTAATCTGATTTTGTGGTTAGCTCCATATGCATGGTAGGATCAGATGTGCGCGCTATAACATTTGTCCATAAAAGTATAGCACCTAGAGGTAGTAACAATTGTTTAAGTTATTGTTTAACTACATCTTTAGTCAAAATCATGCAATCAAATGTTATGCTCATTAGTATGTTCATGTATATTTGCATGTATTTTTCAAAACCAGAATTCTTTAACATCTGATAGAAATAAAAGTGTGGCATACTAGCACCACGCTATGCATGGCAAAAATAAGCCCCAGTATAAAGAATGCACATTCTAAGTATACAAAAACAAAACACTAAGGCTGTGTCTACACTGCACCCCTTTTCCGGAAAAGGAATGCAGATTAGACACTTCAGAATTGCAAATCTGCGGGGGATTTAAATATCCCCCGCGGCATTTGCATTTACATAGCGGCCGCTTTTTTCCGGCTTGCGGATAAGCCGGAGAAAAGCGCCAGTCTAGACGCGATTCTCCGGAAAATAAACCCTTTTCCGGAGGATTTCTTATTCCTACTTTCAAGTAGGGGGGAGAAGGGAGGTGGCTTTCACTAATACAGCAGTGTAGGAGACAGTATGGACAGAAAAAGAAAAGGGGGCACAGTGATTCCACAGTCCAGACTGCACCCAGGGGCATGTCACAACGTAAAACAATATAAACATGGAATTACAAATGCAGCTGAACAAGCATTGGGCTATGAGGCCCAAAGAGACCAATGTGGATAACTAATGAAGTGCTGCAGCTGTGGAACAAACATAGAAAGCTGAAGGATAATAAAAAATAAGACTAAAGTCTTAGAGCTAAGTCCAATGGGCTGCTTAGAGAGAATAGCACACAACAAACGACAAACAGTTGGATAAGCGAACAACTAAGACAGAATACGCAAAATATGGCACAGGAGTTGAATGGCAAGATGAGAGCACCAAGTGGGACATATGAGTCGTAGATGTTGGCAGTGAAATACAAATATGGAGAAATAAATGATCAAGAACAAGCAAACAATAAGCCATGGAAATAATATTTTGAAGAGCTGCACAGTGCAGAAGACAGTAGATGAAACTATTCGAGAAAAGCTTCTTAACACAAATGGGGGAGAAAATATGCAGTAAATTTTTAGACAAAGAAATAAATTTTTGATAGGAAGCTAGAAAAAGAAATAGGCAACATGTAGTGACAATGCAACTGCACAGCCACTGCAAGCAGGGAAGGAACACTTGCTAAACATAACGCACAAACTATTCCACAAGATTTATAAACATAAGCAAGTGCCCAGCAAATGGGGGAAAGCAATAATAGTACTGCTCTATAAAAAAAGGAGACTGAAGTGAGAATAAGAAATTAGAGGGATCAGCTTATTCAGTGTGCCATCATTCACCAAAATGTTGCGGAGGAGAATGAAGAGGTATACGGAAGAATTAGCTGGGTTTAGTCCAACAGGAAGTATAATAGATGATGTATGTGTGATAAGATGTTCAGAGAAGTACACACAGAATATAACTGAACTTGTTACAATGAATTTATAAACTTCAAGTGGGCTTTTGATAGCATTTACCAGGCAGTTTTGAGACTGTATGGTATCCACAAGATCAATCAAGTTTATAGAAAACATCTACAGCAAGTCAATGAGTGTGGTGAGAGTAAACAATATGCTAAGAGAAAGATACAGGATAACTGTAGGAATATGACAAGGATGCAAGTTATTTGCCAGTTTTTTTCAGCTTAGTACTGGAAGCAGCAATGGCTACATGACTGAGAGGTGAAATGGGAGGAGTCACATTACATTATAGCAGGGGTGGGTAATAATTTTTGATGGGGGCCCACTCCAAGAATTTGATAAATGGTTGAGGGATCCAGTATTAATGGAGGGGGTGCAGGGTCTACCAGGGGGTGCAGGTTGAGTGCAGAAGGAGATTGGGGGGCAGAAGAGTGTGTGAGGTCTGGCAGAGAGTTTGGGTAAAAGGAGGGGGTTGTGACCTGAGGCAGGAAATTGGGGTGCAGGATAGAGTGCAGAGTCTGGGAGGGGTTGTGATATGGGGCAGGGGTGCAGGAGGGGAGGCCGAGATTTGGTTTGTGACCTGGGGCAGGGAATTGGGGTGCTGGGCCTGGGAGGGAATATGGGTACAGGAGTAGGGGTGCAGTGGGATATGGGTGTAGGGGAGCTGAGGGTTGGAGGGAGGGATATGGGGTGCCAGAGGCAGGCTCTGCTTACCTAGGTGGCTTCTAGCCAGCAGCCCAGGAAGCCCCTCAGGTAGGCTCTGACTTCCACCCTCCCTCCCACACATACCGCTCAAAGTGCCCACCTCTGCACTACAGGATGTTTAGGATAAAAAATGACATACAAATGGTTTAAATATAAAAGAAACTGAAGCTAGATAGAAAGTATTGGATAGACTTCACTTGACCCATTATCACTGCTGAGCAGATGGGTGGGAATAATAATACTAATGAGAGACCTGCACAGATGCAAAGAATATGGAGTATCTGCAGGATAATGCCATATTTGCCTATCACCACAATAAAAGCTATAATGTCCATATGTCTGAAGACCATGAGCATGTTATCACATGTAGGGATATTATGTCAGAGTGCAGGCAGTCCATTTTATTGCATTTATATATAGAACTATGACTATATTGACTGTTATCTAGAGTGACATTATGCATAGTGCACAGTTTTGGAACCAGGTTAGCCACAAGCATGACTTATTTTATTTTCCCCCAGTTTATATTTCATTATAATACAAACATCGAAGCCTTTTTCACATCTGATGTAGTGACCCTTAAAACAGGGTACACATTCTTGCAACTTGACAGAAAAGGTAATTCTTGGCAATGCATGAATATACAATAATGTAATGAAAACAATCCAGGCATATTTAATAATTTTACATAATATAAAAACTTACTTTCTTCCTTCTTGCTAATAATGGCTGGCAAAGTATAAATCTGAAAAAGAAAACACTTCAATAAGAATGCTTGTTGCTCCAGTGTTAGATGTCCTAGTGCCAGGCAAATTGAGAGCGCTCAAGCCAGTGCAAAGACATTTTGCATTAGCAAGTTGCTTTTGGCAAGCCTTGCTCCTGCTTTTTCTTTAGTCATTGTACATGAAGTTAACAAGCAATGATGTTAATATGTGGCTTCTAGCAGGCAGTCTCTCTTACGTGTGTTCAATTCAAGTATGCATTTGGGTACCTGAAAGATGTTAGTGAGTACCCAGAATTGTAGACTTCATATGGTTGTATGTGAACCAGTTCAGTGAGATTGTCTGACATCCAGCTCACAATTCTGATCATTTTCATCCTTTTCAGTCTACATGTGGTGCTGTGTCATTTGTAGTTAACGGAAACCTCAAGTGCAGGTTAAAGATACGATTAAATCTCAAATGAGCTTTGCTCATGATCACTTATCAGGTCCCAGCAATCCCTTTTTCCCTGAAGCACCTTTAAGGTGGTGATACTACTCCTCAAAGGCATTAGTACTGAGATGACTTGCTGTCTCCAGCACAAATTTGCAAGTTGTGCCTTTGCACATGTACCCTGTATGCCAACAAATTATGATGTTAGCTGGACTATCAAAATCCCAATTAACGTAAGTGACTCAGAATGTGAATATAGATTGAGATAGACTATTTTTTCTGCTTCACTATTATTTTAATGATTATCTTATCATTCATGTTGATCGTATAATAGCTTTGTCCATACAGCACGTGAAATACACATGCATTGAGTTGTCAAAGTTGGTGTAAATTGTTTCTCTGACTTGAGAGATATTTTGAGATGCACAGTAATTTGTTCTTTTCACTTCTGTATATAAGACACCTGAATGCATAATAAATAATATAACAAATTTCCTTACTGGTTCCTTTCCGTCCATAGCTTCCAGCCAAAGTTTCCTGTTGGACTCTGAAAAAGCTTGGAGTGTTATGATTCCATGTCTATTAAAACAAAATATATATTATTTAAAACACATTAATTATTTTTTCCAACCAATGATATTTAAGGTCATTTTTAACAGGAACTAGTCTAAACATAATTATTTACTTTTTTTTTGTAGTGTTAGGCATGTATCTTGACCTTTCTGTGTCTGTTTTTTGTCTCTGTGAAACTACGATAATAAAACTTAGGACTTGTCTACACTGGCAAGTTTTGTCACCAAAAAGGGGATTTTGGTGACAAAACCTGGAGAATGTCCACATTGCAATGTGATAAAAGTTGCGAAAAATGCCCAGTTTTGGCAACAAAAAAATTGTACCTCCGTGAAGGACTTTTCCCCTTCCCATACCTTTACTGTCGACAATCATGCAGTGTGTACTTCAGGAGGCTTTTTTTTTGGGGGGGGGGGGGGAGAGGCTTTTCCGACATTTGGCCTGTTACACTGGGCAAGTCACACAAGGGAGGCAGCAGGCACTCTGAACTTGTCTGATCTGCAGCCAGGTAAACAGAAATGTGTCTCTCCCCTTTGCAAGCCCCAGGAACTTTAAAATCCATTTCCTGAAGGCTGGTTCAGCGTGGAGTGCTCCTCATGGTGGCCTCTCAGGGAAACAGGGGTGGCTATTGTTCAAGACACTCTCCTGCTTGAAGAACCCGAGAGATTTTGGATCTTATCAGTATGAGGTGAAGAATCGGTGCAACCACAACTGTGTGACCAACCCCTGGGCACATTTCTCGATCCGTGTGAGCAGGAATATGAACAAGACACCCTGAAATGCAAAGCCAAGATAAAGGAATCCAGCAGTCGAACCAAAAGGTGAAGGAGGCAAATTGCTGTCTTGGTGATGCACCCAATACATGCTATTTTTATAAACAACTGGACACAGTCTTAGGTGGGGACCCCACATCCGCAGGCAAGGACCCTGTGGATACTTCCCATGGCACAGAGTTAGCAGAAACAGGATTTAACCTGGAGAAAAAAGGTGCTGATGAAGAGGTGGAAGTGGACAAGGAGCAGAGGCTCACTGCAGGGTCATCTGGTGTGGCAAGAGGCCAGGAACTGCTCTCAAGTCCTGAGGCTCATGGTGAGTCTCAGCAGCTGGACATGGAGCATGAAGCAAGAGAAGAGATGAGCATAAGTTGGTCTCTTGTAGTGGGAAGGGGGCAGGAAGGTGCTCTATTGCAATGGCAGTGTGGGAGACAGTGTAGGGTGACTAAAGGCTGTTTTTCTGTGAGCTGGCTAAGCCCTGCCCAAGACTGCATTATCTCGAAACAGGGCATTGATGCACACAGAGATATCAAAAGACTCTTGCAGGAGATGGTGTCAAAGCTTTTCTTGAGGCAGCAGCCTCAGCCTCAGAATCCTGTTTACTTGGTTAGCTGGTTAAATGTTTAACCAGTTAACTGATTAATTAGGACATAAGTCGGATCCGCGTAACTCGGGGACTGCCTGTAGTGTTCTTTCAACTTTTTTAGTCTATGCTTTCAGAAAACATTTAGTCGTACGCTTTATGCATTTCAACTTAAGTCAAAATGAACAAGTTTTACTTCAAAAGCGCATAACTCCTTTTAAAGAGAACTGAAAGAATTTAAGATCTTTTTAAATAATTTGAGGACAAAACTCACTTTTAACTATCTTACAGTAGTTCTTCAACAAAACCAGAATAAGAACATCTCAGTTTTGCCCATATTTCTGAAACTGAAGGGCACCAAATATTGAGTAATTTATCCCAACAAATTCCCACACCAAAGTTGCAGTGCTAATAATGGCATTTTAACTATTCTATTAATAGAGTAGTTCAGATTACAGAAATATTTATATTTCACAAGCACAAAAGTCACTACAATACAAAATTACCATGTTATACAATAGTGACACTTCTGTGAATACTCTACTACTATTACTGTAGTCATAAAAATATTTCTAAGAGAAAGACCAGGAAAGATTTTTATTTATAGTGTGAATTTACTACAGGTTGCACGTCTGTGTTCCAGGACTCTCTGGTCTGGCAACATCCATGGTCCAACAGGATAACGGATGTTGCAGGACTAGAGGGCCCTAGCATAGAGGCTGTCGATGGCTGGGCGCAGAGCCAGACTGTGGGGCCAATGGGACCTATGGGGCAACAAAGCCTGCAAGTGGTGGGGGCACTGGAGCCTGTGGGGAGCAGTACAGCTCGCAAAGGCAGGGCCGCCAGAGTCCTTGGGGAAGAGGGGCTACAGAGCCTGCAGCCAGAGTGGCTGGGGTTGGCGGGTGGGAATCTAGAACCCATAGCTGGCGTGGCTGTGAGTGCTGGCAGGGTTGTTGAGGCCACGAGTGCCTATAGGGCTTCTGCCAGAGCTCATGGGGCCGCAGAGCCCGCAGGGCTACCACAGCCAGGGGGCCAAGGGCAGTGGTAGCTAGGGAGAGGAGGTCAATAGAGAGGCTGGATGTCTTTCTCTCACAACCTTCCCTAGTCCAGAAAATTCCCTTGTCTGGGACGAGTCAGGTCTCAAGGGAGCTGGACCAGGAAGGTCCAACCTATAATTCTGTTTATTTCATCATGATTTTAAAGCAGACGTTCACCTACTGTATCTCTCATGTCCATTAGCCCAAAATTGTTAAAAAATTACAAAATTTCACTCAGTATTTGCATTTGGCTCCCAAAATATAGCAAAACTGTTTCTATTTATTTAATAAAATTCCATATTTTCAGTGGTGCCTGCAGAAACACTTAAAAGGCATTTTAGCATATGGGAAAATACTCTCTTTACATTAACTTGAATAAGCAAATCATTCACGTACAGAATGGAGTATAGCTATGAGAGAGAATGTATTTTTTTAGACATTATATGAGTCAATATTCTAATATCAGCTTCCTCGATTGCACTATAAGTTTTCAACAACCTCCCCCCCTTCATATATACCTATTCAATATGGTTAATTATGCAAAGATAAAAAAAAGTATCATGCTATTTATATTGTGGTCAGAAAAATAATTTTTAAGCAATTAGAAGCATACTTTTAAAAGTCTGGCCTACATGCAGTTAGTTATTATGTAAACATATTTACAAACACCTTTTTAAATAATAAAATATTTTGAAAAGAAAAATTCAAACCTTTCATATACTTCAATATCAAAACAGAAACGCTTGTCAATTGAATCAGTTTTTCTCCGGATGCAAGATTTTAGCTTGAATATTTCTGGTGAGCTTGTGACAAGGCCATTCTGTAACACATGCGAAAAAAACATCAGGATGAAGAAACTACAGTGTTATAAGGAGGCCTGTGAATATTTATGCACGTGTTTTAACCCCTCTACTCTGCTTAAATTTAAGCACATTGGTAATCACTACAAACCCTATTTAAATGTAAGCATGTGTGTAAGTGTTTGCAAGCACATTTCACAATGATCTCTTTATGTCAGATTTGTGTGTGTGTGTGTATATATGTATATATAGTAAGAGACAACATTGCTAAATGTATTTTCTCTCACACATAATTGTTTACCTTTCTTGCAATAGTTCCACATATATAATAAAATGTCTAATTGTGAAAGTTTACTTTGAAAAATGTGTCTACATAAAACTAATGGTATTTATCAAGTCTGAAAATGGCCCAACATCTACATCTGTAGATATGATATGATTAAATGTCAGTCAACTATTAATCAAGGAAAAAGGAACATACCTACCTCATATTTCTGTGCAAAGTGCTGTAGGTTTTTTTTGCATATTCTGAGATGCCATAGAAAATGATAATATTGTATTTACAACATAAATTAGTTATGGAAAAAGTAGATATTTTCATTTCAAACTGTTAATATGACTTTTATTTTCATAAGTAAAAAATATGTGCTAATCATTTTGTGGATCCATGAAAACAAAGGTCATTTTGTTTACCATACATTATTTTCCCCCATAAATATGCTGAGTGGATAATATAAAATAGGCAAGCCAAATCTCATGTATATACTAAGAGATCTGTCAAGATAATACTCACAACTTTCCCACCAGACTTTGTTTCAGCTGCACTCATTGTAAATGTTTTTGTCCCTTTATCGTAAGTACAGTAATGTTTTATCCAGGTAAATCCAAGAGGTCCTAGATTAAAGAAATGTAACTGAAAAAAAAAATCTCTGGACATTTTATCATGTTAGAGATACATTAAGTGGTCTTGTGTAAATGAGCACAGGACTGGGAATCAAACTTCACTTTTCTACTTCAGGCTATAACACTTGACTCATTCCTGAAACTTAGTCATGTCATTTATGTCTAATTTTCAAGTGCCTCAATTTTGGGCTACCCAATTAAAACTTGAGGGGTTGGACTTTCCCTTTTGGCTGGATGGAGAGAGTAAAGAGCCTAACAAGTTACTCTTCTCCATGGTATGTGTAAGCAAAGACACTTGACCCTCTCTTCCTTGGGTATCAGTAAAGATTTTTACCACTGGAGAAAGAGAGGCAGTATTCATTCCATTCAAACTCAGAATGGTCCTTATCTGCTTAAAAGATGGTTGAAGACCCAATGACTTGAACACATGACTCAAAGTCAGGGCATAGTTCCTTAGAGCTCCTTTCTCAGCTCTCAAGAGTGTTGGTCCAACATACTGCTTGGGAATTGAGAATACAGGTTGAATCTCTCTAGTCCAGAACTCTCTGGTCAGGCAACATCCATGGTCCAGCATGATTTTAGTTAGCCAGTCGTCCACTTATGTGTGTGGAACTTATCATGGGTTTCCCAGGTTCCATAAAGTTTGTTTACTGCCACAAGTCCTGGCTCTCAGTGTTCTGTGCTGTTATTTATCTCTAATTTACCCCTAAAAGTCTTCTAACAATCCAGTAAGCAGTGGAAATGTTGGTAATGTTGCTAAATAATACTGACATCCAGTGGTTCAACAAATTCTCCGGTTCGGCATCAGTCAGATCCCAAGGGTGCTGGACCAGAGAGGTTCAACCTATATCATAAAATATCAATCTGCAAGAAAAGTTGCCATGACAAACTTAACTCTAGTAGCTGGTTTACTTTTCAGGGATGTCTTTGCAAAGAAAGGGGTTAGAAATATTCTTCTTTGTAAAAGGAAAGCATAAATTAGTATGGCATATACAGGGAAAACTGCCAAATTGTCCGCTAATTGATAACTACATATATTCAAACAGAACCACTAAGCAATGGCCTGAGGGCCTCACAGACATATTGTTTAGTACTGCTATGTATGTCTTCCCAATAATGGGCCTGAGGCACTGGTTCATTACTGACTCAGGGGACTTCTTCATACTGCAGAGATAATCTAGCCTCTTGTTCAAGTTGTTCAAACACCTCCAAAACACCTCACACACTGCTCCATACAAATAAATCCTTTTACAACAGTTAGTGATGCTCCTGTAGGATCCACATGAACTTCTGACACCTCTCATCAAAATATTGTGCTTGATGGGGATTGCAAAATCTAGTGGGACGAAGGACAAGGAGCTTCAGGTTTGCTCATGCACAGATTATTAAGGGAACTAGAAAATAGGAACAGATTGGATGGCATCCTGGAGCAACATATGCAATTCCAATTAATTTCAGTGAAAATTGCTGAGGCACAAGGAGGGCAGAATATGACCCTTTGTTTTTTAAATTCAATGTGCATCAGGATACATGCTTTTGTTTTTAAATTAGGGTAATTACTGAAGTAAAAATGTGATTGTTTTAACAGAAAAAACCTAACTGCTGAAATCATAGATATTAAAAGAAAAAAACAGTAATTTTATTCTGATTACCATAGATTTGTCTTGAAAATGTGGCCATCCACAAATGCAGCAATATTTTCCCGCAATATTTTCTGTGACTCTTGTACATTTCAAAGGCAGAGGCATAGTGGAGAACTGGAGCCAACGGGAACTGAAGCAGTCCCAACACGAGCGGGATCCCAACTGCTGTGCCTCTCCCTTTCAAATGTACAAGAGACATGGGCAGTGCTTATACATTTCAGAGGGAGAGGCACAACAATTAGGACCCCACTCAAGTGGAGACTGCTTTGGACCCCACTCACACTGTTTCCCCACTGTGCCTCTGCCTCCCCAGCACCCCTGTGAAGACGGTTCTGGCGGGAATAGCTTTTAAGCAGGTTCTGTCCCCCCCAGCACTGGCTCCTGCTCCCCCCACTTAGTGCCTCTGATACAGAGGCAGTGGGAGAGAGTGACTAGTCGAGTAGTGACTCGACTATCCAATAAGCCGAGGCTTATCAAGTAGTTGACTAGTCACTTACATCCCTAGTGGGAAGCTAAAACCATCATGAAGAAATAAATAATTAGTACCTCTATCTCTGAGGCAGAGATTATAGACCTTCTGACTTTTCCCCAAAATAAACTACTGACCAAATCCTTTTTCAATGATAGAATGTCACGTTGGCCTCTCACTACTTAATGAATCACTTCATGTGCCTGACATTTCACTCCTTTCTTGTTCTCTCATTAATAATGCCCAGTGTAGTTTCCACTTAACACTGGTTATTATTATTAGTATTATTCGATTAAGGGGTACATGCTCTGCTCAAACCTCATCAATGCTATTGCTGCTGGTGCTAAAAACCAGCAAGGTTAACTGAGAACAGAACATTGGCTCTTCTTTTTACTCATATACCGTAACAGGAATTAAGGCCAAGATTTCAGTGGGAAAATCAATTAGCTACAACATTCTACAGTCTCTGGAGAGGGTTCAGGGAAGGTAGATATCCTCATGCTCGAATCTATGCTAGTCTTTGCATGAGACCAGGTATGATACAGGAGATTCTACTGCCAGATTCTATGTTTCTGAATGTTAGACTCAGAAATTAGGAATTGGTCAAAACTGAATTTGTATTCAAATAAATACGAGCATTTTATCATTATTGGTATTCGTTAGAACACCACATTTGCACACAAACAAGGTGTCCCTATTTCTACAAATTGAGCCAGACCCTCAGAGCACTGTGTAGCTCATAGCATTGAAACTCTTTTAACAATAAACTTGGTGCAACTCACTCAGCCTAGTTATTTACATTTAATTAGCTTTGAACAGTGTGATTTGATACCGCAGATCTCACAGAGTTTTTAATGTCTCTTCTGTCCTCAGTATTTGGTATTCAGGACTTTGCACTCTTTCAGTTTGGGTCAAACTGCTCTATGGTTCATTTCTCCTTCCCATTGATATGTATTCGTTGGTTCCTCCCGGTGTTCTTTGTTAAATCTATTTACTTTTCATTCTATTTACTTAACTTATTTAGAACCTGCTTAATTCCAATGGCTTTTCTTATCACTTGTGTATAGTTGAGCTATAAATCTATAACTCTTTATCTGGGTTCTCCAATTCCCTTTGCTTTTGCCTATCATATTGTTTCTTTTACATATTTGCTTCTAAGTCTCTATATCCTATATATAGGAGTGACACTGGCCCATTTGGGAGCATGTGGCTGCTGATATTCAAGCAACAGAAGTGGTGGCAGGGAGTTGCTGAGACACATGAAACTGCTAAGAGGCCAATCTGTCAGTTTTAAAGAAACAGCCTCTAACAAATTCGGAAGCTTTTTTCCAGCTTGTGATTAGCTGGGGCCAGATATCTCCTAGGGCAGGCATGTCCAAAGTCCGGCCCGCGGGCCAATTGCGGCCCGTGTTCCAGTTTAATACGGCCCCACAGGTAATTTGGCAATATCTATCTTTAATGGCCCCCAACGAATCCAAATGTATTGAGATGAATACATTGTAAAATCTCAGTTAATGTCAGTTGGTCTAAATCAGTTATAAATATATTTGGACACAACATATATACTTGGTGTTATGTTCCTGTTCATATTTTTTGAACTTAAAAGTTGACAGACAACCTTTATTACCAATAATATGTAATGTACTTTACAATGTTCCTGACATATATTTCAGCTTCCTGGATTTTTTTTTCATCTGGCCTTCAGATATGAAAGGCAGAGTGATTTAACACCTGTTTAGATTTGTCATCCATGTGACGAAATGAAAAGTATGCCGTTTGCAATAAACTTTGCATAAAATAGTTAATTTGCATTTAATTTTAATGGTTCAAAGAATGTCAGGCAAAATGGTCGGCCCTCACGCATGTTCACTTCATCAAATCTGGCCCTCTTTGAAAAAAGTTTGGACACCCCTGTCCTAGGGGAATTTCCAGCATCCCTGTGGGCCAGTCTGACCTTAAACATAAGCAAACAAAACAGACATGAAACCTGCCTTACAATTCACCCTGAACAATTTATTGGCATCTCCTAAAAGCTGAAATGCAATAAAGCAATCTTCAAATACTGCCTGTACACAGATGTATTACTCACGTTTCTCTTGCACATATAGATAGCCTTCCATTGTCCATTGACTTGGTGGCTGGTAATCCTGGCTGGCAGATTTCATTCTCTGCATCAGTCTCTCTACTTCCTGCCTGGTACTTTCAAAATTATTTCGTGTCTAAGGAAAATAAAAAGAGCAAAACCACAACAGGAACTGACTACCTCTAAGTACACATATTATTACTATCGCTTCTATTGCATTAGATTATGCTAGTACATTCTCATTTAAACAAACAGGGATGCAGATCCAAAATAAGTTATTAGCTCTTGATGTACCCTAATCTCATTACTATACTTTTAAAACTGCCATCGGAGTACTGAAAGTCTTGAATTAAAACTAGAAAAGTCAAGGAAATTTAGAAGGTCACTAACCGCAGAAAGAACCTTATTTCATCTCTCAGTCAGCCCCATTGCTCTCCCATCCACACTTAGGCTTCGTTTAAACTGCAGTGCTATTTCGAGATACCGGAGTATCCCAAAAAATTATCCTATGTCTTCACAGCAAACCCGTTATTTTGAAATATAGTGGGCTCGCTATTTTGACGGCCCTGAAAACTTCATTCCATGAGAAGTAAGGGATGTTTCAGAATAACAGGTTATTTTGAAATTTGGTGCTGTGTAGACAGTGCCAAAGTACAAAATAAGCTATTCCAAAATAAGATTGATATAAGATATCCAATTTTCATAGCTCAAATTGCTTATCTTATTTTGAGCTATGATACATTGTAGATGCACCTTTACTGACCAAGAATATTTTATTCTGAAAACTCCATTGATAGGACTATATTAACGGTAGAACTAGGTAAAATGTATTTATTTAAACACGGATAAAGCCAAGTTTACTGTGGTAGAATTGTGTCAAGAGAACATGTGGTCCAACTGCAAGGATCTGTGCATACATCCTAGCATCTGTTCATAAAACTGCACAGTTTATGGGGCACTTGCATTCAAATGCATATTTTTGCCATTGAAATTGATGGGGTCAAGGTTTGTTCCCCACATATCTAGTTTGTGTTATTTAGCAGTTCTAAATTATGCTAGCTTGCTGCCTATACTGGCCTGCTACTACTAGGAGTTAAGCGCCCTCCCTTGCACTAGACCAATGGCTCTCAACCTTTCTAGACTACTGTATCTCTTTCAGGAGTCTGATTTGTCTTGCATATCCCCATATTTACCTCACATAAAAACGTACACAATCAGACATCAAAATACAGAAGGGCCACAGTACACTATTACTAAGAAATTGCTTTCTCAATTTTACCGTATAATTATAAAACAAATAATAGGAAAATAAATATAATTCTCATATTTCAGTGTATAGTATATTAGAGCTGTAAGAAGAACTCGTCCGTATAAAATTTTTGTTTGCACTGATTTAGCTAGGGCTTTTAATGTAGTTTGTTGTAAAACTAGGTAACTGTCTAGATCAGGGGTTCCCAAACTTTTTGACACGGGGACCAGTAAATCCATTCATGAACTTCTGGAGGACCGGTAACATTCATTTGCATATTCATTAATCAAATGATGAATATTCAAATAAGTTGTTTCTGGTCCTCCCAAAACCCCCAGTGCCAGCTTCAGCAAAGCTTTTGATACGGTTACCCACAATATTCTTGCCAGCAAGTTAAGGAATATGGATTGGATAAACAGACTGTAAGACAGACAGAAAGCTGGTTAGACCAGGGTTTCCCAAACTTTTTACTTTAGTTGGAACCCTTTTTTTTCCGTACTGTTTTTTGCAGCCCCAAAATATAAACACATAAAAAACAAACTGAGAAAATACCAGACATATGATATGTCTGGTATTTTCTCATTAGGTACGTTTTATTATATCTAGATGTATCCGTTTGTAGTTTCGAACTGCCTGGCTGGTAAATGTGCTCAGGCACATGAGGGGATGGGGGGTGGGGGAAACAATAGAATCCCCAGGCCGGACTAACTCGTGCTTTGTGGGGGGGGCAGGGGAGGAGAGGGAGGAGAGGAAGCGTCCCGAGATCTGCATATGGCCAGGTCAGTCCCGCTCCCCGCCGGCCAATTCACTCCTCCCCACCCCCGCTGCGCCGCTGGCCAGCCCCACTTCCCCCAACTCTCTCCTGGAAAGCCAGTTGTCCCCCCGCTTCTCCTCCCAATCTCCTTTGGCCAGTCCTGCTGCCCGTGTCCAGCCCTGCTTCTGGCAGCCACTTCTTCCCCACCCCTCTCATCTCCCCGGCCTGATCAAAATACACAATCAGATATTTGGAAATTTGTGAAAATTAACCTTTGTTCTGCAGAAAATTTTAAAAGCTCAGTAAAAACAATCCCAATACTTAACAGTTAATAATATAGCTTTATATTTTCATGTAATGACATTAACTAATTAATCCTCATAGGGTCCCTATGAAGTAGGAATAGTATATACAAAACTTAAAAAAAAATAAAAATTAGTAGCCCATGTCTGTACTAAGGATGTTAAAATGTGATTACTTTCCTAATCAAGTAGTCGATAGATTATTTATTAATTAGTTGATTACCTGATAAGGATCGGCAGTTACAAAGCTTAGTGTGGCTCGTGCCGGGTGCAAGCATAACCTCCCCCCACTGCTGCTCTGCATTACAAAGAACAGGGGAGCTGGTACATGAAGACACTGGTCCCAGGTCTCTCAGGAGTCAGCATTAATGCCCCCGCTTTCCCACTGCCACTCCACATTACAAGGGACAGGGGACTTGGCATGTGAAGACACTGGCTCAGTCCCTGGTCCTGGGGAGATGTGACTAGTTGCTAGTGCTAACCAATAAGCAGAGCTAACTGATAAGCAAAGTTGACTAGTCGTTTAGGGTACATCTACATGCACAGCTATTTCAGGATACTAGAAGTATCCCAAAATAGCTACCCCGTCTCTACACAAGCTGCCTGTTATTTTAAAATGCTTTTTAAAATAACAGGCATGCTATTTCGTCATCCCGGTAAACCTCATTGCACGAGGGATAAGGGATGGCTCAAAATAGCGCGTTATTTAGACATCTGTCTCTGTGTAGGCACGCCAAATTTCAAAATAAGCTATTTCAAAACAGTTTTGAAATAAGATATGAAATTTGCATAGTGCAAATTGTGTATCTTATTTTGAGTTTAAGGAGTTGTGTAGACGCGCCCTTTACATCCCTCGTCTGTACAGCACTTTGAAGATGTAAGTACTTACTAACACTCATGCTACTGTAATTAGAAAACAGTAAGTGATTTAATTGACAATAAAAATGTAAACCACACACACTTATGGCTTCAATTAGCAGTATAATCACCTGGAGGTTGAAGTGTTCTTCTTTAGCAATTATGTTTAGCAAGTTTTCTCCAAGAACTTTTCAAGATAATTTCTTCCTAGACCAAGGGCCCAATCCAAACTCCACTAAAGTAATTGGAAATCCTGTCACTGACTACTTCAATGGGCTTTGCATCAGGGCCCGTGTCTCTGAAAACAGGAAGGACCCTGTCCTCATCCATGTGTCATTACTGATTTTTTTTTTTAAAACCAAGATAGCATTTTGTCTCAGCTCTTATATGACTGAGCAGAGTGGCCCCTTGAAGAAAACTGTCAGTGAGCTGAGCCAATGAAACTGACATTAGGCTGGGTGAGAACATGTGAACCTTCCAGGACCAATCACCTGTGGAAGGTCACTCATGTTACGGCCATCCTGCCCTCTATCAAGTCACATAATAAACAACTCTGTGGAGACAGCCTTCCCTCATGTGTAAAGTGTGAATCCCGTTCAGCCTGAGCCTGGGCACTGCTATAAGGGATGAATCTACAGGCAGTTGATTCATGCTTCTGCTTAACTCCTCTGCACTATTGGTGAGTACTGGCTACTAGGGGGAGAAATAAAATGAGACAAGGAAGCAGATGAAGGACAGAACAGAGGAGATAGAGTGATCAAACATTGCAGAAGGTGAGATACAAGGCAAAATGCAGGGAGGAAGGATGAAAGAAGCAGGAGATAGGAAATCAAAAAAGAGGGAAAAAACCTAAAAAACTGAAAATGTAAGAAAGTATTCAACACATTTTTTTCCTCCTTTACTTCCCCATCTCCTGATAGCTTCCTATATGCGTTCCTGATCTCCACCACACCCAATTCACTCTCCTTTCTCTCTCCTGAAGGAAAACCATATCTATGAATTCACCATTCTCTTGCTTCCATAATGTTAAGTTTCTAGCTTTTGCATGTTTGGGGGGGAGGAAAGGAGGAGGGAGACAAAAGGTTTCTTTTCTATGCCTGACTCAGAGGTGACCTTCTGTGGCTCTGCAGATGTCATCCTCAAAGCAATTTTTTAAAAGGCATTAACAATTATTTAAAAAAAAGAAAGAGGTGAATGTGTTTTTACCCAGTGGTGAAAGAATTGAAACAACACAGTAATTCTGATTTTCATGGCATATTTACATAGACACGGGCCCTGATGCAAAGCCCATTGAAGTAGTCAGTGACAAGATTTCCAATTACAGGCAGTCCCTGGTTTACGTACAAGATAGGGACTATAGGTTTGTTCTTAAGTTGAATTTGTATGTAAGTCGGAACAGGCTCCAGATTCAGCTGCTGCCACTGAAACTGACCAGGGGCTGACTACAGGAAACCAGAGGCAGAGTTGCTCTGCCCCCCGCTTCCCGGAATCAGCCTGATCAGTTTCAACAGCTGCTGAATCTGGAGCCTGGGACAGAACAGGGGCCTGCCAGGTAGGTCCCTGCAGGACCAACCCGGCAGCACCCCAGCTACTCTACCCCAGGGTCCACAACAAAAGCCTGGTCTGCTGGAGGGGGTGTGCACTAGCTGCGCCCCCCCCTCCCCCCAGCACACCAGGGAGACCCAAGCAAAGCCGCACAGGCGGAGGAACCCCGCCGCCCGTGTGGCTTTGCTCCTTTGCCCCCGAGCAAAGCCGCTGGACCCCCCCCAGCAGACCAGGGACACCAGAGCAAAGCCGCCACCTGGACGGCTTTGCTTGTTTGCCCGGGAACAAAGCTGCCCAGGCAGTGGGACCCCCGCCACCTGGGCGGCTTTGCTCCTGTCCCCCTGGTCTGCTGGGGGAGGGGGTCCAGCGGCTTTGCTGGACCCCCCCAGCAGACCAGGGAGACTGGGAGAAGCTTTTCTCGCCCCGGAGGACACAGGTGGCGACCCACCGCCCGTGAGCTCCGGGGCAAGAAAAATCCCGTTCGTAAGTGCGGATCCGACATAAGTCAGATCCGCGTAAGTTGGGGACTGCCTGTACTTTAGTGGAGTTTGGATTGGGCCCTTGGTCTAGGAAGAAATTATCTTGAAAATTAACACTGTCTGAACTTATATTTTCTATCTTTGGTCCATATTCCTAGACCTAGATTGGTGGAGAAATTGCATGGCTTAAACTACTTAAATCAGGCATGTCCAAAGTCCGGCCCGCAGGCCAATTGCGGCCCGTGTTCCGGTTTAATACGGCCCCACAGGTAATTTGGCAATATCTATCTTTTATGGCCCCCAACGAATCCATATGTATTGAGATGAATACATTGTAAAATCTCAGTTAATGTCAGTTGGTCTAAATCAGTTATAAATATATTTGGACACAACATGTATACTTGGTGTTATGTTCCTGTTCATATTTTTTGAACTTAAAAGTTGACAGACAACCTTTATTACCAATAATATGTAATGTACTTTACAATGTTCCTGACATATATTTCAGCTTCCTGGATTTTTTTTTCATCTGGCCTTCAGATATGAAAGGCAGAGTGATTTAACACCTGTTTAGATTTGTCATCCATGTGACGAAATGAAAAGTATGCCGTTTGCAATAAACTTTGCATAAAATAGTTAATTTGCATTTAATTTTAATGGTTCAAAGAATGTCAGGCAAAATGGTCGGCCCTCACGCATGTTCACTTCATCAAATCTGGCCCTCTTTGAAAAAAGTTTGGACACCCCTGACTTAAATCATTACACTGGAACATTTTCTCATCTCTGTAGTGAAGCAACAGTGACCCCTTGTGCCTGTAAGTGAAAGATCCTTTATAATGAAAAGTGGCAATTATACAATTTGGAAGAAGAAATGACTGTGAAGCTCTGTGAACAGAGAGGGGACTTCCACATGCAGACCTGTGTGTGAAGTGAGGGCACAGTTACCACAGCCTTGGACCATGTTCCACATGGGTTCCAGGTTCCACATGTGGGAGCAGGCATAATGGAAGGCAGAAAGATTGGGGCCAAGTGAGATACATATTGTCTCTCACATCAAACTCACACTAATACAGTCCAGCGCAAAACCACCTACATGTTGTGGAGCCCCTCACAACTCTACCTCTGAAGTGAAATGGGTGGTTTCAAGGGCTGCAGCTAATGATAAAAGTCCTGTCAGCACATCTCCCCTGAAGCCAGGAAGAGCCGAAACTGGCCTGTAGATTAAAAGATGGCCTTGTGCCTCCAGAACAAGGGTGGGCGATAATTTTTGCAGAGGGGTCACTTCATGAATTTTTGCATTGGTTGCAAACCACCCCCCCAAAGGGGTGGGGCGTTGGGGGCAGGTCATCGGGCAGAGAGGGGCTGTTCCATCTAGGGGCGGCTGGCCCCTAGCAGTGACATGGCAGGAAACTTCCCATGCTCCTTTGCCCCCAGGCCAATCAGGACCTAGGGGTGAGGGATTGTTCAAAGTCTCTCTTCCTGTTCCTGCCCTGCCAAGGCCGCATGGCAACTAGAGGGAACTTCCAGCCATTTTCAACAGCTGGCGGTTCCCTCTAGGCACCCCGTACCCCTGGTAGGGGCAGGAGTTTTTGCCCACTCACCCTGCCCAGGCCAATCAGGGCCTGAGGGCAGGGAAGCACGCAAACTTTCTCACCCCTCACCCACGCCCTGTGTGGGACATGCGACCTTGAGGGAACCATCAGCCATTTTAAACAGAGGGTGGTTCCCTCTAGGTGGCGCATCCTCTTGGTGAAGGGAGGAGACCTCGCGTGCTCCCCCATTCCCCGGTCTTGATTGGTCTGGGGTGGAGGAGCAGCAGAGCAGGCCACAGACCAGATCAAAAGTCTTGATGGGTCAGATTTGGTCCACAGATCCTATCTTGTTCACCCTTTCCCCAAAAGATATTCTGAGATCTGCAGGCTTGGGAAAGGTGATCTCTCAGGTAACTAGAGCCATTCCCCTGCGTGGCTTTAAGTATCAGGACAGAGACTTGAAAGTAAATTTTGTGTTCAATGAGGAGCCTATAAGAGACCAGAGCAGCAGGATTGGGATTCATGGAAAATAGTGATGCTAAGCAGATGAGCTGTTGCATGCAGAACCACTTCAAACATTTTCAATATGTGTTTCTTCATTCCCGGACATAAGCCCTGAATCAGAAAAACACTTAAGTGTGTGCTTAAATCTCTCCTTATTCAAGACAGAACTTTAACATTAATTTAAAAGCAAATGCTTAAATGATGTCCTGTACTTTATATTGCATCCTTTGTTAACAGAGACAATGAGTTGCATTAGTCAAACCTGGAGCTCATGGATCAAACATCTGGAAGCTGAATTTCAAAGCCTTCTGGTAGAAAGAAGCTTGAAGCCATACTTTTCATTCAACAAGTATCTTTCAAGATTTAGAGTTACAATAAAGCATTTCTACTCTCTCTCTCACTCTCATTATTTTGAAATTCAATTAGCTAAGAAATTGTAGTAAATACTGTTCAGTCTTACATTCTGTAAATTGAATTGCAACTGTTGCTTGTATGGGGTAAACTCCTGGGCCAGCTCATATCCCTCATGGTAAAAAGTAAACAGTCCCTGAAGAAATGCCAAAAGCTGAAAAGATAAAAATAAAACGTTAATGTCAAAACATGCATTACAAATATCAATCATAAATCGAATACATGCTGATTAGAAATGACATGGAAAAGGTATTAACTGCAAAAAAGAAAAAAGTCATTACAAAGCACAAATGACCTATTGTCCTTATATATAGGTGAATGCTAGGATACTGGAAATAAAATCTTATTTTTTTATTCCTTCTAATTATCAAAAATATGATCTTAATACTTTTGGTGCTCATGCTTGCATTCCCGGAATAATCAAAACTCCCAGCACTTTTAATGCATGAGCAACAAATGGAAACTCAAAATTCAAGGTAATTTTGTTTTGTTTTGATTTTGGATCTATGGCAATTCAGAACATTTTTCCACCTTCCTTGTTCCAAAATCTGTCTATGACCTACTTTCTCCAAATGAGACTCCTGAAAATAAGTGTTGGACAGCTTAACTAAAATGAAAACAAAAAGTTCCAGACTACTTCTTCCTGAACTAAAGATCAAAATATAAACTCTAATGAACTTTGACTGGTATGTTGCTTGTAGGATCATGACTGGAAATTTTGGGGGGCTTTTTATTTTTATTAAATTAGCATTTAAGCAGGAAGACTGCCACTGAAGTTTTCAAAAGATTACTTTTGGACCCTCAATGAATAGAATCTTGCCATCTATTTATGTTTAAAACCTTTGTGTTGAGGTAGATGTTTTTATTCTGTGTCTATTGATAATACAAAAAGAGGCTGACTATTGCTGACACAGCAAGTTATATGACTATAAAACCATTTATACTTTTTTCTTGTGGAATATTTTATTATATGGCATCATTTAGTTTACTATTTTCTAACACAAGAGCCTGAAAATGAAACCACTAGCGACACAAAGTATTATTAGTACTATTATTATAATTACAGTACTTTATATTAGAAGTCAAATCGGCAATAAGGATGTTTTCCACTTGGATACATAATTGAAAAAGTGGAAATCACATGCTTAATGTATTTTTTCTTTGTCTATGTTAGCAATACCACGGATTTATGGAAAATGAAACATGTTTGAAGTACTGATTTCAACACTAATGCAATTTATATAATAATTTTTGCCCTTCTCACAGCTCGGATATAGAAACTAGATTGTTCTGTCTCATTATCTGGTTATCACGTGCCAACAGACTGCATTGTAGGGTGGCGAACAGTGCAGAGGAATATCTGAAATATGGCCCCAAAACTCTTCTATGCCCAGTGGCAGAGGTCCCATTATACTGTGACTCATGTCTGGCCTGGCACAATCACTACCCCCAACACATTGTTATAATATGTAACTAAAAGGTGTCTGTCATGTAAACTGGTGATATGTTGGCAACTGCGCTGGAATATTTCTAATTGTGGAAGGTGTCGAAAGTTAGTCCCCTTATCTCTGTCCACCCCACCCCCTGAGCTGGGGCCAGGATCAGGGCTGTGTCTCTGGGAGGGGAGGAACCCAGACAATTAAAAGGGGGCCTAAGGCTGGAGACAGCCACAGAGTCCTAGGCAGGGGGCCAACAGCTGGCACCCCACGCAAAACATGGGGTGGCTGCAGCATCTCTCACACCCCTTCTTCCCACGTCTATGCACACTGGTCCTGAAAAATCACTGTGAAGTATGTACTGTGCAAAGAGTAGCATGTGTACAGATACAGGTCCTTAGAATGTGTCTGGGAGGTAGTGCATGCATGGAGCCTGCCCTTGACAAGGAATGTGGATTGCCTCTGTCTGGTTGGAATACAGGCAGAGGACAATAAAAGTATACTTTCATGTAAGATAAACACAGCAATCAAGTTAACAAGCAGTGGAGGAAGGAGCTAAGAGAGTGTGTGGTCTTTAGATGATATAAGGGAAACAAAGAGACATTTTAGTTATCAATCACTTAGGGAACAGAGGATAGAACACTGTTTGAGCCTCTGAGGCCAGGTCTACATTAAACCTGGAAGGTTGGCTTAAGCCTAAGGTATGCAACTCCAGCTACGTAGTCTATCTCCACAGGGGCTTGGGATGGAGTTTGCTGGCTGCTTTTGAGAATGGTGCAGGGCCAGGATGGAGTGAGCCTGCCTTAGCCCCACTGCACTGACTGGGGTAAGCAGTGTTCAGCTGGAGCCTACATCCTGAACCCCCTGCCCTGGTCATAAACACCCTCCTACACCTCAAGCCCCTGCCTTATCCCTGAGCCCTTCCTAGACCCAAACTCCCTGTACCCTAAACTCCCTCCTGCACCCCAACTCTCTGCCCCAGGATCAGTTTGGAGCAACTCCAAATTCCTTAACCCAAGACCAGAGCCTGCATCCCATACCAACTCTTTGCCTTTGCCTGATGAAAAGGAGAAAGAATGGGGGAGGGAGGACGGAGTGAGCAGGGGTGGGGCCTGAGAAGAGGGTTGAGAAGGAGGTGGGGCAAGGGTGTTTGGGTTTGAGGTAGATCCTGGATTGCACTTGAATTCGAAAAGTTATCTCAGGCTTAAAAGGCCTGCTTTACAGGCTAGTACCTATACCACTTCCTTGGAGGCAGGAAACTTTTGAGTGTGTCTCAGTGGGAGGCACTGCAGAGAAATATCTACAGGGTACTCTGTATCTGGAGTTCACTGACAAGATTTAGATTGGCAGTCTCAATGAGCTTGCTGGTAAGGTAGACAGACTGGTGTGCAAGGAGCTGACACACTATCTAGTAATCAGTGAAGCTCCACTGCTGAGGCAGATGAGTAACAAAGTATCTTGAAGTTTTGGGTGTCCTAAGGAGAACATCGTAGGCTCTTCAATCTGTGGATCTCAAAACTCAAATAATTACATTTCAGAATACTCTTTTCTATGTCGATAAGTATTATTATCCTTAGGCAAAACAAAAACAAAGAAATAAAGAATTCGTACAGCAAGTCAGTAGCAGAGCCTGAGATATAAAATAGGCCTTTTGAGATACAAGCTTTTTTAACACCTCATGTTTATTTTACATATATGGCTCTGAATTACATGGCAATGTCCATTTTAAAGCAACTGCAGATTACACAGCCATAGGAAATTTTTTCAGTTCCATTGATTTCAACTGGGCTATGGCAAGTTACATAAAACATTTGTCCCTTGCAACTTCCTCTTTACTGAAGTTTTGCAAATAAAATATGAGAATTTCTCAGAAATGAATAAGAAATCCAAGATCTGAGAATTGACTTTACTGCTCAATAACTTAGGAATTTTTAAATTTTGACTTTCTTTACCCAAAGTATTTTTAGGAATTTTTAAAGCTACACTGCAACACAGTGTACACAACACATAATGCTTTTTAATATAATAAACCAAAATTAGAAGAATGTACTCTATGTTTATAGTGGGCTTTCTTAAATGACCTATTAAAATGCACAAAACCATTCTTGCTATATCAATTTGTAAGTGTTTTAAAGATAAGTTTAAGACCTGTTTATGAACAGCACGCATTTTTAGCTGTTTAATCCATAACTCTGAGAAAGATGTAATAAAAAAATCAACCAACCTCCTTTATATATCTTATTTACATTTTCGGGGTTTTCTCCTAATACAAATGACTTTTGTTAAGATTTGAGCATACTGTGAAATAAGAGAAAGTAACAGGCAGTAGATGGCAGCAAAGTCGCATGTATAAGAAAGGATAAACTATCCGGGTAAATAAAAGTATAAAATGCTTTATGTTTTAGTTATGTTTTAGTTAAGTTTATTTGTTTTAAAGTAGCGATTCTTCCTGTAGAGCAACTGCACATTGCATGGGCTCTGGCATTCAGAATCTCTTGGCCAAGAGCTCCATAAACACCCATTCCACCTATCCATCCCCTAAAAATGTTCCTGTGTCTCTCTCATGAAGTTCCCAGGGTGATGTATTCATGCCTTGTATAAAAATCATGCACATTGAGGATGCAACTATGTATGTATGTATGTAAATACCACTGATGGCAGAAGGAAACTCTATTCTGAAATGCCCTTCTACAGCTCCTTCAGGAGAGACTATGGCATGGCCTAAGAAGATCTGTGTTTGGAGAGACAAAATTGAGGGGAAAATTTTGTCCCTGGCTCACGGTGTTGGTGGCTTTTTGCTGGCTATTTACAGACCACTTACAAGGTAGGCCAGAATCTAGCCCATTATGTGTACATTTAGAGAAAAACATTCTGAATGTTTTTTAAAGATGATTCTCACTATGTATTTTTTAAAGGTGATCTTAATTTGTTAAGTGATTGGTTTCACCAAATGTTACACACAATCCCCCATGTGTTTATATGATCAATTTTCCAAGTTCCACAAGCACTTTACTGCTACTTCACTCTGAACACCTCATCAGCCAGATCAATAAAGAAATCAGACTTCTACTCATTTAACCCAATAATCTGGCTGCATGCTGCGAGAGCTGCCAGGATTTCAACAAAGAACCTGAAACAGAATCCAAAGACTGCTTGGGACTTTATTTATTTTTATGTAAAGTTTGTGACCCTGAGATTGCTTGGTCATTTCATTCTCACAGGAAGAAGATTGTACTTAGGTTCTGGACAGAAGAGGAATTTAACCTTTAGCCTGCAGGGCATCAGCCAGAAGTTACTGTCTCCTTACTTCGGCTTATATATGCATAAAGTAAGGTACTTAGCTATCCAGTTTAAAATGCCTTTGGTGAATAACGTGGGAAATGCAAGAAAAATAGAACTGGTTTTTGAGGTTTAATATCTAGACAAAATGTCTTTCTAAAAAACAACAGTATTTATTTTAGATAGCTCAATGTAGACCAAGACCATCATCAAAACATATGCAATTAGAATTAGTGGGGTTTTTTTGTATCTTTGGTGACCAGTTAATGATTTTATTTATCACATAGGGCAGATTTTAATGACCTCTAAGGATCATTAAAACGATCCTTTTAATGATCTCTCCTATTCTGTGGAAATCAGTAGGTGTTTTGCTGTAAAAAGAGGGAACTGGACCTGATTCTAAAGAGGCAATAAGAGAAGTCTAAATTCAGCTTTCCAT